GGGGTGTTTACCGAGCATTGCGTAGTTACAGGATGAGTGGGGTATGTGACATCACTCTCACGTCCTGTTGCGCAATCCAAGCATTCACAGAGTTGTCGCCTAGCAACACACTGATACAGTCTGCAACTCTCACGTTGCGTGCGTGCCCCAAGGCCTCTGTGGCTCAACAGTTCCTACATAGAGCAAATACGTCACAATATGATAAAATTCTTACCAGTGTCTAAGGAAAACATTATGGTACATTTAGTTGCACAATAATTATTGTTGCCTCAAACCTTGACATCCCTACCATAACTCCACAGTTCACTATTAAAATAACATCTGATATATGCATACAATAATGATTATTTTACATTCTTTGAGTTAGTGAAAAAAAATTTGCTCTGTTCATCACAGAAAATTAGTCCCAGAAATTCACGTTATTATTCTGAATATGAAAACATTCTTTGAGGCAGAGTCCTGGGTTGCATGTGCAGTATTAGTGAATTTGTTATCATTTTTCTGGTCTTATGCTTTCCTCTGTCTGTGTAAACCTTACATGTACATACACTGGGTAATTCCCAAATGTTTTGATCCCTTTGCTGGTATCCTAAATGCAAAATGGTCTCTGCCTACAAGTCTTTCCTTTGAACTTTCATGTGTCTGCTTCATGATTTGCATGCCCACATCCTCAGTATCCCTTCCACAACTTTTTTTTCCAGAACTTGATGAAGACTGAATTTCTGTTTTCTTCTCATTCATTGTGAAATGTGAACATTTACTGTGTCAGGATTGAATGGATGAAAGGACATTTTTTCCACCATTTAACAGACACTCTATAACTGTAAGGGTTTGCTGACACGGATCATGTATTTTCTGCAAAACGTTACTGAGAGTAGTTTTATTTTCTCTCAGGCAACTCTTGATGTAGGTGCATCAACCTTGGCTTCATGTGCTGTGCTTAGTGTGTACACACATCATTAGCATCTTGCCATATTATTGTGAATGGATGGTCTCTTTGCATATGAAGCTTTTCACCTTTTTTTTTCAGTTTCTCTTGAAATGTTTCAGCCATTACAGCCCCATTTTTTGTTTGTTTTTACTGACCAGAGATGATTAAAAATGGTGGACTTCTGAACCCCCCTGTCCATATACCCTGTATACATACACCTTATTTTTTATTCACACTAGATTCTGTCTTCAGAATTGAAGAAGCTAATGTGTTCTTGAAATATTTTTATTTCTTGCACACTTTGTTCCAATGGCCCTGAGATGTTTCATATATTCTTACTATTTTTCTTTATTCATTGTTTCCCATATCTGTTTGTCTCTTTTTTAATAAGAGGAGAATTTCACTATCAGAAGACAACTGGAAAATGTCAGCAGGAGAACTGTGTTCAAAGGTTTTGGTTTAGTCCTGTAAGATTGGAAAATTCAGCTACAGATCTCCATTTTCTACTGCTCCAAACTTGTGTATTCAGTGTAATTCTAAATTATGTACTTGTCTGGTTGCTTACAGTTCCTTTGTGTCCTGTCAGTGACTTGGAAAGTGTATAACCCTTTCACTGCTGTTGCTTGCAGTGTGTTCAATATTAAGGATTTATTTAATTTCATATTCATCTGAATCTGGATTATATAGGAGTACAGTGATCACACTGTCATCATTAATGACATGGCACAGAGAAAACCCCTTACTTATATTTGGTCCTGGATTTTCTGTGTCGTGGCTTGAGCAACAAATTTAACTGATGCTGATCCTAAGTTCCAACCAAAACCTAGTCTATTTTTAATTAGAAATTATCTGTGCATGGCTGTTTGCCTTGATTTCATCACAGTGTGGTATATGATATCAGTTAAGTTTTTCTAGTAGTAATGAGTAGCATCCAATTTAGAGTAAAGGATATTTTATGAGCATTTGGTTCCATTTTCAGGAGTGTTACATGAAAATCGAGGTAAGGCAGTGGTTCATACATATCTAAAGAATGATGGTGAATTGGAGAAGTTGCTGGATGAACTGAGGGAGAAGGTTGGTCCAGACAACCAAGCAGAACCTGAGCCTGATCAATCCATGGCAGTTGTAAGCTGTAGTACTTAGAAATCAATAATGATTGCTAGTGTAAGTTTGTCCACCTGGTGATTCAGATAGTATACAATCTGTTTTAATTAGTAAACATTTCCAAATTCAAAAGTCATACAATAATGTTTTTGTAACCATGTAGGTTAATACCTTTAATAAACCTACTCAATTTATAAATTTTAACTTTATTAATTTATAAATTTTAAAACTTTGTTATTTAGAAACCTACTTGGTTTATAAATTTTAACTTAAATAACAAAGTTTTAAAAACTTTAATATACATTTAATAAACCTACTTGGTTTATAAATTTTAACTTAAATAACAAAGTTGTAAAAGCTTTAATATAACAAGAAAGCTACTGTAGTTGTGGAAAAGTTGGATTTTGTATATATTGTGCATTACAAACATTGTATGTATATGTATTTTAACACTCAAAACTCCCATTGTGATAGTAGTTTCCAGAAAGTATCGATGTACCTCTGATGATGGTCTGTAGGGACCGAAACATGTAAGGGTGTTAAGTTTTCAAGTAGTAGAAACTTCAATAGTCACACTGGATGGAGCTAGTTTGTCTTTGTAAGTCAGATGACTTTCATTGCACTACACAGTGTTCCATCCCAGAAGACAGAACTCAGCATGAGGATGATGGTCAGCAGAATGAATATGAAGCATACATAATGTGGACTCAGGACTGCCAGGGGTCTTTGTTATTCGTCACATACGCTTAAGTTTTTTCTTTTATAAAGTTAATGGTTACACTGATATATTGGGTTTCTGGACTTTATCCATCGTCCTGGTTTTTAAGATAACAAATAAAAACACGACGTTTCGGAAACTGGATCTGTTTCCGTCCTCAGGTGAAGGAAAAGGGAAACACCTATTCTGTTGGGTCCGTTAGAAAGCGCTATCCTCAATCACTGGACGTGTTTTTATTTGTTATCTTAAAAACCAGGACGATGGATAAAGTCCAGAAACCCAATATATCAGTGTGTTATACACCATTGTCAGAATCCTATAGTAACTACTTAATGGTTTCAGTCTGTGAGGCAGAAAATCTGAACACAGATCTGACAATGGATTGAATTCAGAACCTTCTGAATGAAGGTTCAGAATCTTAATCCTGAGACCAGCAACTCTCCAAGAAAAGTGTCAAGCCCCTACATTAATGGTGGTGTTATCTCTCCCACTTCAGAAGTTTGCGTGCCTACCATATCAGTATTATTGAACACTGGGAATTAGAAAAGTTTGAAGATAGAGTAGTCTTCAGTGGTGTGGTGCCCATGCAGAGTTTCTTGAAAATTGTCATTTGGTTCAAGATAAGCATGTGTGAGACTGAAGCCTTAAGTCTGAGATGGAAATTCAGGAAGAATTCTAGAATTAAGATGAGCATTTGGAAATAATTCAAGAATCTAGATGAGAAAAGTATTTGTCCCTAAAAGACCAATTGTTCCACTACAATTGATCTCAGAAAGTCAGAACACACATTCTTGTCATTTTATGGATAAACATGTGTGCTCAGTCACATGTGCACGTTGATGCCATAAGTGTGTTTACATTTATCTGAAAGCAAAAGTAGGCTGAAAGTATGTGAATTTATAATAGATAGGTCATGGAAGTCATTTTTTTCACGGGGTTTTGTTATAGTAGTTTCAGAAAACTGACACTAATAGTTCTTTTTGTTTTATGAATTGTGCTCTCAGCCACCCAGTGGACTAGAATCAATGGCATGTGTATACTCACATCCAAAGGTGGAGAAGGTACAAGACATTGTGGTGGGTCACTTCAGAAGTTTCCAGGTGAAGAATATTGTCACCCGAGCCATGATATTCTGTCAGGTTAGTTCATATAATGTTTCTTAATTTGCAGGTGAAGTGAAGATCAATTGATAGACTGAAAAGGCTTCATATGGACACGAGTGCTCTATTTCTTTTTTTTTAGAAGTACATATCAAAAATAGTTTCAAATAAAACTTTATAAATTCAGATGAATTACTTAGTGTAAGGAATATTCATATTATTTATTTGATGAACATTTTAGAGGTATTAATACTCTATTTAGACAGGGAGAACAACATACTAGACATAAACATCTTACCAGCTCAGTTTTTTTTGAGGTGTAAATAAGTCAGCACACAGTGGTCACATTTCTTTTCATTTATTATCTGCTTATCGTGAAACAACCATCTCATTTAAAAGACTCTAATTACTTTTTAACCTTTTATATGCCATTTGTTATTTCATAATAGTGTTCTTACATGTCTAAAATATTTAAACCGAGAAGACTAGAGAAACTAGTTTACACTCATCAGTAATCTGTCAGACGACAGGTCCACAGTCTCTTCCAAAACAATTCCTCCACTTAATGCGATCTAGAGCTTTCTCCTTCAAATGACAGTATCCTCTTCTGTCCCCAAGGTCATCCAGCATCTTCTTATGTCTTCTTCCTCGTCTTCTTGTCACTTCTATCCACCCCTCTATCTTTCTTTCAGTAACTTCTTTTAGAAGGCAGTTTCTTCATAAAACATGACCAATCCAATTAGCCTTCTGTTTTCTTATTTTGTGTAGGATATTCCTCTGCTCACTGACTCTAATTAACACTTCTTCATTTCTCACATAATCGGTCCAACTGATCTTCTCCATCTTTCTCCAACACCACATTGCGAAGCTTTCCAGGTGTTTCTGATCTACTGCCCTAAGTGTCCATGCTTCAGCCCCATACAGAGCAATGCTCCAAATGTATCATTTCACTAGTTTCTTCCTCAAATTTAAGTCCAATACACTCGTGTGTTTTATTCATATTTAAACATATTTATTTACGCTGTGCCGTAAGAATAGAGTTTTGCATATGACACACTTTCCTTATACTTTCTGGTTGTTTCTTTACCCGTTAGCACTGTTCAGTGTGTTATATCTGGCATGTAATTATCTGTTGTGTAATATATAGCTGTAAGCCTCATTCCTTCACTTTGTAAAAAGGAACAATAACTTGAGTGTAATGCAGTCTGTGCTGACATGTTGTGAAATGAACTTATGTTCATGTATTGGTAATCTGCAGCTGAGCAGATCAGCCTGAATGTAAAAATGTGACCTTGCAATTATGGTTGGCCTATCAACGAGTCATGAGCTCATGGGGTCTGAAAAATACAAGTTTTGAATAAAGTTTTAGATTAAGAAAATACTGGTGAATTTGGTATGGATGATGGTAATGTTTTTGAGTGATTATACACAACTGGTGACTTCAGGAACCTATGTGATTAGTGACAGTGAGAGCAATGATGGTAGTTATGAACAAGAAGAAAACATAAACTTAGCATTGGGACAGATCTCAAATAAATTTGTGTGGCAAAATATAGGCTAATTTCCAGCTTCACAAGAAAGAATTTGTGATGTGTATGGTCCTTAGTTTGACATTGCTAAATTGGATTTCATGAGTGCATTTGAAAACATTTTTGGTATAGCTTTTTGTGTAACTGATTGTAGATGAATATGGCAAATATGATCAGCAAGAAATTTTGAAAAGTATCAACCCCTCCACATTTCACACTGGGATTAGGGGGTTGGAAGATGTTACAGTGGATGAAATGTATGTGGCTTTGGCTTGCATCATGTTGATGGGCATTTTACAAAAGCATATGCTTACATCTTACTACTCAAAGAACCAGCTGCTACTCACTCCATTATTTTTGAGACTTTACCTCTGGAAAGATGGGGGATAATAACCAAATTTATGCCTGTTTCTGACAACAGTAAGCAAAATGAATCTTAAGGACATCCCAAGCTTTTTAAAGTTTATCCAGTCATTCATCACCTAAATAACAAGTTCCAAAATCTTATCTTTCACGACAATTACCTGTGACAGATGAGTCCTTGACTCCTGGGAAAGTTCATTTGTCTTTCAGACAATACATGCCCCTCGATAAGCTGAAGGAGAATATAAATTGTGTTAATACCATATGATGGCCGAAAGGCCGAAACATGTAATAATTTTATAGCATACAGTATATCTACAAATAACTGTATTGACAAAGCCAAGTAATAAAATTATCTTACACAATATGATACTGCGATACAGTATTTTTAATTTTTGACATTAAAAGGGTTAATTTCAAAATATATTTTTATATTGTCAGATAATGTTGAATACATTAGTTTTGGATTCTTTAATTTTTCAGTATCGCGACATTGTTATTGAAGTTTACCAGATCCTGAGAAGGCACCATCCTTTAGTTAAACCAATGACTTTTGTGGGTCAGTCATCAGCTGGAAAACAATCTAAAGGCTTCACTCAAAAACAGCAGCTTAAGGTAAGGAAGCAAGGTCTTTCACAAATTATTTTGAATATCATGCAGGTCTCTTTGAGATGCTGGAAGAGATGAGTTGCTAAAATACTGTATATTATTTCACAGCCGTTTGTTCTAGGACATACAGAACAGCCATACAGCTAAAGTTAGGAGAGCACTGTAAAGTGATTTTATATACATATGGTGTGTGTGTTTGTTATGGGCACCCACTACTCTGACACAAGAGAACTACCAAAAGATAACCTCAGCCCTTATATACAGTGGTTCCACTATTCTAAGAACAGAAGGAAGGGCATACTGTGTGGTAACCTTCATTTGTGATTCTGTGTTAGTTTTGCTATAATAGGAAGTAAATGACCAACTCATTATATCACAAACTCTCCAACATGCAGTTCGAGTTTCCTATCTCTTCTTTGGTGTTATGCATGAAGGAGTTTCAAAAGACAGCGCTTGGTCAAAGACAAGATCAACCTATTACTTGACAGCAACCCAGAAGCGACTGACATGACAGAACAAGCTTCAGTTCTACACCACTGAGGTGTATACAAGTGAAATCTTGCAACAGACCAGTTATCTGGTGGCATCCTTGACAACCGAGATTCTTATGATGAGGTGATACCAGCCCCACCTGCTCCTCAAGGGATATCAAAGTTGGAACAAATGACAGATTGGACAAGCAGTAACATTCATCTGTTCACTGGTGACATGACTGGCAGGAAACAGAATATAACAGCCCACATTAATGAATACTTGACTCCATATAGTGTTTTCATGTTGAATTTTGCAGCTGTTACCATTCTATTTGTGCAGGAAACCAATCGATGTTACCAGCAGTACTTGGACTTCCTTGACAGTGGACCTTCTCCTGTACCCAATGTCACTGAATCTGAAATGTTACTATTTCTGGCACTTACAAGGGAAAGTCAGTAAAAAGGTCACAAATGGATACGAAATGTAAAATGTGTGATGTTTGAACCTGTAAAAAATGTGTATTTCTTGACATATTCTCCACTGACATTGATACGCTAGTCCCATCACTTTGCCAGTGCATCAAAACCTGCTTGGTAGTGGCTTCCAATGGCAAATGTTCCCTATTTTCAGTGGGTTCCCAAATTGTCCCTGGACTCAATTACCAGCTTCTCACAACAGCAGTTCAGAACTGAGCCCCAGCAGTTCTCTCACTAACTCACCAACTGACTCACCCACTGACTCCTCACTGATTTGTCCTGCTTATAATATCTTGGCATGGCCCACACAGAAAACACCATTCCTCTGTTGCAATTCCATTGTTACATTTGTGTCTGTTGGGGTTCCCATGTGATCACTATTCAGCCATTGCTAGCAACAGCCATTTTTGCAGATCCATTACTTAACAACAGCTACTGTATAGTTTCTAATTTCACGATCGTTGCCTAGAAACATGTCTATATGCCACAATATAATGATGTTAGGAGATTTAGGACATTGTCTCCAAAGAAGTATGTAAAATAATTAATTTGGATGTTTTGGGTAGGACAGTAATACCAAGATCAGCTTACAGTCTACAGGCCGAGAGCAAATATAATGTCACGTGTTGGGTATGTAACGCGACAAATAACTTCACGCCATATTGAATATAGTGAATAGAAATAGTTGAAGACTTCATATATTTAGGCTCGAAATTCCATAAAGATGGAGAGGAAAATCATGAAATAACAAGAAGAATAAAACTAGCGAATAATGCATATTTCTCGTTACTATCAGTTTTTAGATCAAAGGATATACACCGAGCGAATAAAACAAAAATATATAAAACAATGATAAGACCGGTGCTTTACTATGGATTAATTATGGATATGAGGGTTGGACGCTAAACAAGAAAGAGGAATCGGTCATCAGTTCTTTCGAGAGGAAAATCCTAAGACAAATTTATGGACCAATAAAAGAGAATGGGATATGGAGAATAAGATATAATAAAGAGTTATACAAATTATATAAGNGGAATGGAGGGGCTTGATAAGGGAGGCCAAGGCCCGACATCAGGCTGTTGCGCCATAGAAGAAGAAGAAGAATGCTTGCAACTGCTCAGTCCAGAACCTTTTGTCTTCTCGTCTACTGTCTGAAAATGTAAACATTAGACTATACACAATTATAATTTTGCCTGTGGCTCTGTATGGGCATGAAACTTTGTCTCTGACATTAAGGAGGAACATAGACTGAGGGTGTATGAGAACTGGGTGTTAAGGAGACTATTTGGACTGAAGAGGGATGAAGTGATAGGAGGTTGGAGAAAACTGCATAATGAGTATCTTCGGAACTTGTATTCTTCTCCAAGTATAATTAGAATTATCAAGTAAAGGAGGATGAGATGGACAGGGCATGTATCATGAATTGGGGAGAAGAGAAATGCATGTAGGGTACTGGAGGGAAAGCAAGAAGGAAAGAGACCACAGGGAAGAACAAGGCATAGGTGGGTGGACAATATTAAACTGGATCTTAGATAGATAGGACGGGATGGGATGGATTGGATTGATCTGGCTCAGGACAGGGACCAGTGGAAGGCTCTTGTGAACACAATAATGAACCTTTGAGTTCCATAAAATGCTGGGAAATTCTTGAGTAGCTGCACAATAGGTGACTTCCCAAGAAGGGCTCATCTCCATGAATGAGTGATTTGCAGCCAGTGCCAAAACAACTCACAGACTTCTACATACATACATACATACATACACACATACACACTGATCCGTTGTCCGAATTGGACCGGATATTGAACTCGTTAAAATAAATACCCAGCAGACCCAACAGCATAACGCACGCAGTCGCGAGAACAAGACGCAACAGAAACACAATACACACGATAGGGAAGCATACACAACCAAAAGCACCAAATAATCATAATTTACATTGTCATTCATAAACAAAATTACAAGGAATGTAGTTATTAAATGTTATACATGCTTAGCAGAAATATATTCATCTATTGAATAAAAAGCATTTGTTGTGAGGAAACTTTTCAGTGTGCATTTAAAAATCTTCACATTATCACTCATCCTTTGTATATTTTGAGGAAGAGTATTATAAACCATAATGGATGAATATAACACACCTCTCTGGATTGAAGATAATCTCACTGATGGCACATGTAGCTTTCCAAACTCTCTAGTGTTTATATTATGGATATTATCGTTGGTTTGAAAACAAATGCCATTTCTAACAACAAACATCAATATAGAATAGATACATAGGCTAGGAACTGTCAAAATATCCAACCTCTTAAAACCTCTACACAAATTTCTAGAACTCAATCTCAGCAAAATCCTAATCGCTCTTTTTTTGGGCAACAAGTAAACTTTTCATAACTGGAGAAGAATCCCAGAATATAATACTATATTCAAGCTGAGACTGATAATAAGAAAAATAGACCGTTCGAAGAGCTTGTTCACTGACAAGGGATTGTAACTTCCTGAGCATAAAACACGCTGTATTCAGTTTCTTTAATAATTTTTCAGATTGTTTTTTCCAATTAAGTTGACAATCTAAATACATACCTAAAAAAATAACAGTATCAACATCTTTAAGTCTAAAATTGTTATATGTTACCTATAATGTATACTCTGGATACTTAGGAGTGACAAATTTAATCAGGTGAGTTTTACTCGAATTAAGTAACAGATTATTATTTCGAAACCCACTTGAAACCCTAGTCATAACTCTATTTAATTTAATATTCAAAGAGTTTAGGTCATTTGAGGTAATTAAAATTGTTCTGTCATCCGCGTACAGAATAGTACGTGCTGTATCCTTAAGAGTACCTGGGAAATCATTAATATAAACATTAAACAACATTGGTCCCAGGACAGATACCTGGGGAACACCAAACCTTACGGATTTCCATTCAGAGATTGTAGTAGTCCAATTACAAGTATGCAGCACAACTCTTTGCATTCTATTTTTTAAATAAATCTCCAACCATTTCCAAATAGGCCCTTTGACTCTATACATCTTCAACTTTTGAATCAACAGATCATGACTGACACAATCAAAGGCCTTTTGTCAGATCGTAAAAAATACCAAAAATGCAGAACTTGATTGAAAATACTCAGAGGTTACCTTGCCCACATTCCCCCCCCCCTTTTTTTAAGAAACAAGTTATTAAGCTGAAAATAAGTTTCCGAAATCATTTGCCAGTCAAACCTTCAAAATATATTGCTATACCTGTGCTGCATGAGAAGTGAAAAGGGAGACGAAATGCAAAAGTAAAGATATGGGAATTTCTGTTGGTTTACTGTTTTGAGGCTTAAATTGTGATGTTGTATCATAGTCTTTGGAGCCATAAAACATCTCTCGAAATGGACATGTAACAGAAAAGATTTATTTTCTTGTGTTTACTGTGGACACTGCATAATAATACTAAGAGATCCATCCTGTTGATTGCAACTCTGGGAATAAATATAAATTGTAGACCATGGCATAGTGAGGCACTCATTTAGAGGTTACTGTAAACTGAATAGAACGATTGAATGTTTTAAGAACATATGTTAATATTACAGTCTTGTCAGGATGTGGTTCTATGTAGTTTGCTACTTGTTTTTAGGTACTAACATCTTGAAGGACATTCCTTCCTTCAGTTCCAGGTTAGAAACCTATCTACAAAACTCCACAGCATTTCACCCAAACAGATTTATATAGCAGTACTGCTCTAAATTTATATTCATGAGGCACTGGCTTTTCTCTGATGGCATGCTGGCTATCATGATTAAAGTTTTTTGTGGTTTCTCTCAGCTCCCCAGGTTTAATGACTGGATAGCATCTCAGTTAAGCCTCGACTATTTCCTTTCAGATCTTTTCTAATTCATCTGTCATCCTACCATTTGATGTTAAGTAGTCTGTGATACTGAAAATGTCAAAATAATGCATCCAGTCCATGGCATGTCATGCCAGAAGACATTTACTGTGAACTGCTGCTACTCCCTCCTTCACCTTACCACCTACAACCATCGTGAAGTTGAGAGCTGTTCATCATCACAGGCTCTTGCATCGTGTTCACAGTGCTCCCTAAGGTCGTCGCAGGGAATCCAAGCTCGCAGCGGAGGGCCTATCAGATGTTATAATGATCGACCATATAACAATAACAAGATTAAATGAAAACAAAACACAATATAACACACTACAAGAATATACAAAAAAATAGAGCACTGTGAGCATACAATGTTGCCAACAACCCACCCAACACGGCTGAATTCAGCCCTATACTTATCTGCACTTCGCGGCATCAAACTGAGCCGACATGCCCAGTTCCACTGGCCCATGTACATTATGTATGGAAGTCGTTACACCACACCACGACTTCACTACTGCTTGGTCCGCCACAGGTGGCCCCAAAGAAAATATATATACTAACTAAACAACTCCGCATATCGCCACCATACATTTACTCCTGATGGCTGGCGATGACAGTAACCCCGACGTCTGCGGCCAGCTCCCGGTTACACCAAAACTAGATTTAGAAAACCCCGCCGAACAGAAATTTAGACATTCCTCCCGCTGGTCCACCAATGTCCTAGCCCGAGTGGATCCACTATCAGACTACTCCACTGCTTCCAAAACATACTTCCTTCTGAGACACACAGGGTTAGGAAGGGAGGGGAAAAACCACATGGTACAGAGGAAGAGGAGGAGGTAAGCTCTAGGACAATGATAAGGGGTAGTGTGGAAGGTATGGCTAAAAGCCATGACGTCACAGAAGGGAGCTGTTGCTTCAGCACGGCTCAACTGGAATGAGAACTTTAAATCTCTCAGCTGCCTTGTTATTCATGAAATACTTTAAAAAATTTAGTCTTATCAGTTCTGTAATGCATAAAATACCATTNAAGGGCCTGCCAGGACAGGGGTGGGATTTAAATACCCTTCGCGCCATTCAAAGAGTTAAGAAGGGTTCCATTGGCCAGTTACTATGTGTTCATTTTTACCTGAGAATGAGAGAGCAAGGAAATGTTTGGCATATCTGGTACTATCTATGCATTATTGTTCTGACAAGGTCTGTTATGGTTCATTATGTATGTTGTAGGTAATGCGCAAATTCAAGGCAGGGGGCTATAACACCCTCATCTCTACTTGTGTAGGGGAAGAAGGTCTGGACATCGGTGAAGTTGATCTCATTGTGTGCTTCGATGCTCACAAGTCTCCTGTTCGGTTAGTGCAGAGGATGGGTCGCACTGGTCGCCAGCGTGAAGGTCGCATTGTGATGCTCGTTACTGAAGGCAAGGAGCATGATGTACGTGTTGTGAATATGGGCAGTAAACATCATCAGTTTCTTCCATCTTTCTGCATATGGGCAGTAACTACTCCAATTGTTCCACCTTTCTGAAATATGGAAAGTAGATATTCTCAGTTCATTCAGCCTTTCTCAAGTATGGGCAGTAGAAATTGTTCATTTGTTCCATTTTTGAAATATATATATATATATATATATAATCAATGAATATGTAAGGGTAGGCCATAATAATCCGGCCGTTGAACCACAGCCATCACTGATCTATTGTGCTTCCCCTTTTGTTTAACCCTTCATTAATTCTACACTTAAAATGAAGTGTAAGGCTTAATTTATGGATGCGTCATAATAGTGTAATTGTTGTGGAAACATCTGGTTGGCAGCACAGGCTGGGTGGTTGGGAAGTATCCAGAAAGAGATGTGCTTGCATACACTCCCAGCTCCCCTTGCTCATGTCACAATATACAGTAGAACTTGGTTATAACGTCATCAAAGGGACCTAAAAACAGTGTCGTTATAAANATATATATATATATATACTATGAATGAATATGTAAGGGTAGGCCATAATAATCCGGCCCTTGCACCGCAACCATCACTGATCTATTGTGCTTCCCCTTTTGTTTAACCCTTTATTAATTCTACACTTAAAATGAAGTGTAAGGCTTAATTTATGGATGCGTCATAATAGTGTAATTGTGGAAACATATGGTTGGCAGCACAGGCTGGGTGGTTGGGAAGTATCCAGAAAGAGATGTGCTTGCATACACTCCCAGCTCCCCTTGCTCATGTCACAATATAAGTACAACATATGGCCCACTTTATCATCTCTGATTCAGTTGCATGTTTCACAGTCCCAGGATCTATGAGATGTCTAAATATAAGCACATACCTAGTTTATTTGAGGTGAAATCATTTCCACTTTAATCTAATTAATGAGGAAATCAAATTTACCTCATGTATCAAAGAAAAGAAATATACAGTAACAAAGGAATTTAGCAAGAATTTCACACACTTGAAGAGTATGTCATTAGTGAATGCAAAATGTAACATAAGAAAGCAAATTCACATTCTTTATAAGTAATGTGTAACTGTCACTGAACAAATCAGTTAACATGGCCACGCCATAGCTCAAGCGGTTAGTCACTGGTTTCCCACTTTGGCAGCCCGAGCTCAATCCTGGGGTCTGGTCAAGTAGGATTTGTGGTGGACAAAGTGGCACTGGGGCGGGTTTTCTCCAAATACTTCGGTTTCCTCTGCCAGTCTTCATTCCACCAAATTCTCCATCATCATAATCACCCGGTGCAGGCTACAATAGGGCAATCAGTGGCTGCTGTGCCGAATGGACCCAGTTGGACTCCACCCCCCACTAAGCGGATTAAAAAATCTGTTAACATAAGGCAGCTCAAGAATGAGATTCTGCTAAGGGTTTCACTGTAGCTTCTACAAACAGGCCCATAGCAAAACTGTGAACACACATGATTTAATGCTGCTTCATGTGTTTAACTGGTTTCTCCTTGCATAATAGCATACACAGAATGTACTTGAATTACATTACTTGCAAAGAATATGAACCAGGTTCAGCTTGCTCTCAAACCAATCTCCTTAATTTCCATTTATGAACAATAACGTTGTACTTGCCAAATAAATACAGAACACAAATCAGATACCTCATCACTTACTGTAACAGCACGTACATTACTCATTGCCCAGCAACAGTGTGTAATGAAGACTTTTCCTCAGCAGCCCAAACAGACACCAGTTGTCATGTGTTGGGTATGTCACACTACAAGTATAAATTCACGTAAATCTCGAATTTAGTGAACACATTTATTCTTGCATACTCAAATACAAATAGGATCAATTCAACTGCATTCTGCGGCAGCTATCTTCCAACTGTCTCTGACCATGGATGGATCCCAACTGTCTTCAGCGGTGGCTATCCCAAGACTGTCTTGGCGAATGCATTACCTTCTTACATATCCATGGCCATTGCTACGCAGTGAACCTTCTGTTGTCTGTCTCCGGGGAAACGCTGCTTCGTTCATTCTGCAGTTCCTACGCAGTGGCCTACTGTTATTGCGTTACCATGGAAGTATCTACTCCAAAAACGTTACATTAATTTTGAACTCTGCATAGCATAACAGAGCACCGATAGCATGACTGAAACTGAATTTAGTGTGTTTGTTCATTGGATGTTGGAGACAGAATGTGTCCTCCATGAGCAGACAGGTTCCTGTTCTAGAACAAGGGAGGGGATCAGATGGGTAGATAGGAAACATGCAATAGTGATGTAATTTCAGAGGAGAAAAGAAAAATGACATAAAAAATCACAGAGAATGGCTAGCCAAATGGGATTGACTGAACAAGAGATAAATGTGCTGATAGCACTGAGTGACTCACCAAAATGCTCATTTCAGGCCATTGTAAGTTCGTCTGAGCTGGAATATAGATAGTTACACTTTCGTTCTTACCATTTATAGCAAATGTTATTTGCCTGTTATTTATTTGTTGGATATCTATATATCACAATCTTTTAATTTCTTTTTATTTACAGAAATTTAAGGCAAGCATGTACCAGAACCAAACAATGACCAAGAAACTTCTTGAAGGGAATCATATTGCAGTACACATGTATGAAAATAACCCAAGAATGATCCCACCAGGAATTGAACCTCAGTGTCACCGTATGTTCATGACAGTCTGTACCACTGAAGAGACACAGGTGAAAAAAGTCAAACAGAGGAATCAGGATATTCGAAAACTGCTGGTGAATCCAAGTGGCACTAAAGTAATGGGTGAGCAGTTCACAAAGCCACCATTTACTGTTTCCTTTCATACACAATATTTTCTTGATTATCCAGTGCACTTTTAGCCCCTAAAATGTGATAAAAAATTGGGTGCTTTGGTTATTTATGTCAAGGTTGGCACTGGTATGCAACTTATTCGTGATCATGGTGAGAACACTGCATGCCTGCCACCATCTTAACTTTTGCAGCTTCCTGTTCCTTTTACGTAGCCATGCACTGCTGTAATGCATGAGTTAATGTTTTTCTAAATTGGGTATTTAACCACGTTCTCAATATGGAGACTGTATAGCATTGATGATAGAATGATTAATGAATGTGAAGCAGTTGGTGGAATGAGAATTGCTAGGGGAAACTGAAGTACAGTCAACTGTCGATTATCCGGGGACGGCTTAACCAGGGCTACTGAGGCTTTTTTGAGGCTTATATGTTGTTTAATATTCATTCACTTTTGTTTCACATGGTGAGTTGTAACACTATTTTCACACTAGTGCAAACCAGAGCTTCCAGCCCCCTGCTGAAGCATTTCTCCTAGGGATCCCCTTGGAGGGGAGTCCCTCTTCAGTTTAAGGTCTTTACGACCGGTTTTTGATTTGGTTCCTTTATTAATTCCAGTCCCACGACTCATGGGGATTTAAAAGGTCACCACCTGCAGTGCCCCATATGGGTGGAAGGCGTAAATACAACGGGGTGCTGCCTGCTGCCTCAAGGAGATCGTTAAAAAGACACTGGCTAATTACCACCCCAGTGCCATGCAGTCCTCAGCACGATGCCTCACACCTTGACTTTGGTGGTTTGGTCCTGTAGTGAATGCAGCTCTCACAAGCCTCCAAGACAAAGAGTGCCTGTTTGGAGGAAGAGGTGTATCCCAGATAATAAATGGGAGTGCAACACCAGTTATTCATGAGGTTGCGACCAGGGCAACCTAAACAAGAAAGTCGCCCCTGGGGGTTGCTTATAAGCTCCCCCATTCCCACCCCTCCACATGGGTTAGTCAAACCGTTTTAGAATGTTGAGCCCTGAGGCTTGCGGCACCTTATCGGTACTCAAGGGAGACAACTCAAATAGCTGAAGCTACCTCCATAGGAGTGCTCTCCCTCATTCGTCCCAGATACACTGTAGTGACACCCAAGAGTCATTATGCCACTGCGTGGGAAGCTCTGTTCATAATGCCATTGCCCTTTATGGGAACTCAACTGCCAGCCTCGGTAGGTCATACTGATCCAGAACCCGAGAGTGTCATTGCCTGGCGGGACCACGAGGATGTGTCCCAACACATCCCTGTTCCGTGATGCATCCCCATCAAAGACAAAGCCGTGGTTCGGCGAACCTCACCGAGGATGGCATCATTGCCACCTGTAACATATGACATAAGAAAGTCACAGTTACCCCAAGATCAAACCCGGGCCTCCGAGAGAGATTTTACAGCTGTTCGTTTATGACTAATCAGGTCATCTTGGCACCAAGTCCCTTGAGGATCATGACCAGAGGGTTTTTTTTTGAGAGGGGGGGTGGGACTGAACCCTTGCAGTCATTGTCCATATGTAACATCTTCTACAGTGAGAAGATGGGTTTGTCTCTTGTGAATAGGCTTCACCTTATCATATCTCACATATAGCTTAGGTCTTCATGGTTATGGGTAATGCCTTTTCTTCCCAGGAAGTGGTCAGTACAATAAGGGTGATAATTTTAATAAAGATCTGAGAGCAGAGATGCTGTGCTGCACAAAGTATAGTCGTCTATGTGAGAGAATGTCAAAGGAGGCATCCAAAATCACTGTTAGTAGGAAATATCAAAAAGACCGTGGGCAGTGTGAGTTGCTTTGACTGGGATCAGAAATCCTGGAGAGTTAAGGTACTTTTGGGTGCTGAAAACAGGAGAGGATTAAGTGGGATTTCATTTTATGAATTTCTTAGTGTAAACATGTTTCTTTCTCAGCCTTTGAGTTTCATATTTGTGCCTTGCCAGATACTTCCTAAAATGATCCATAATCATTTTCTCTCTTTACTTGGAACAGGGCTAAGAGTAAATGAAGGAAGTTCACCATACTGCACAGAGGATGAGCTGGTCAAATTCTGGGATGGGAAATCAGTAACAGTCCCTGCATTTGATAGATTTCGAGACGTAGAGGAACTACATGGAAAAGAAGGACGTGAGTATATGAAGCCATAATTAATATTCCCTCCCCTCACTCGTTCTTGTTCTTCTTACACCTCCCCCATTCTTTTGCATATTGCTATTTCACTACTTATCCAGTAAACATAATGGCTAGAATTGTACTCAGGAGATTTTTTGTTCAGATCGGGGCTGGGATATCGGCTTTCCTATGTGAAGTTTGCCATGGTTTTCCCCAGTCCTCCAGACAAATGCCAAGATAACACCTCAGTTAGGACAGGATTCTCCCTTCCAAATCCTTTCAAATTCATTATTTGTCTGTCACCCTACCAATGCTGTATAGTTTAGTTACTGACAGCATCATGAAGTAACCAGCAAAAAAGTACTAAGCCTTTATCCTTCTGTAACCCACTTAATCCTTTATTTTGTATGAAACAGTCTTTGTATTTAGACTGTAGTCTTGCTTGTGATGCTATGCAATCTGGTTACCAATAATTTGGAAAATCGTGAAGCCCCCATCTTCCAGGTCTAAGTGCTTCTCCAAAGTTTAGATCCCCCTAAAAGACTGAACGGTGTAATAACCCAGAAGACCACCATTTGGATGCTCACTACTATGAAAATCTTGGATTTCGTAAGCTGTATATTAAACTTTAAATGCATCTCTGAGTATTCATCTCCCATACATAATATATGATATATTTATACATCATGCACGACGCCTAAGCAGACTCTTATATGTCACATTTTCCTCCTTTCATCATAGCTTAGCAGTCTTTTCTGATTCTAATCGAGTTATAGTGAAACTTGTTTAATAAGGCATTACTGCCTAACACAACGTATATATATCATGTTAGCAGGCATAATTTAAATCTGTGTTTTATATGGGTCACATATATACATTTTTGTGGCTGATGTACTGGCCAAAAATTATTAGCAGCTTGAAGTCAGATGTTTAGGCCTCCTAACCATAAATATTTTTTTCTTCCTGTGGCGCTACAGCCCCAATTTGGGCCCAGGCCTACCTCCATGAAACTGTCCGTTTCACTTTGGTTTAATAGATCTTACACATACGGTAGGACTCCTTGGGTGAGTGATCAGCTCGTCACAAGGCCTCTACCTGTAGACAAACAGAAAAACGCACACAAACATCCATGCCCTGAGTGGGATTCGAACCCGCAATCTTGGTTTCCGAGCGAGCAAAGAGAGTGCATGCCTTAGACCGCTCGGCTACCGTGACTGGCCAACCATAAATATAGGCCACTTATAACCTTATACCCTTACGTACCTATCTATGCATAACAATTCTGCCATTCAGTCTGCTCAGTTCCCTTGAAACATCACACAGTCCGTTGTTAACACACTGACAGGAATAATGGAGTGTTATTGTATCTCATGCTGCTTACAGTCAAGTTCTTGTTGCTGTGCTAATTGCCAGACACAAGCCTTTACCAATCCATGTCCCTAGATACTGTAAGACTACAAAGCAATGAATTCATTCCATTCTGTATCCTCTATTTCTTGGCTACAGTATGAAACATGGGTTCAGGTAGCTAAGTTATTGCTGATGACATTTTGTAAGAACTTTACAGTATGTAGATTTATTTTCTGATGCATCTGCTGATAAAAATACTGAAATAGAAGCTTGGATGCTGGTGTAGCCTCCACCATTTCAGGTACAGTCCACGTTTATGTGGACTGACTGCCCTCAGCAGATTGCTCTGTGGATCTGGTATGGCCCACAAACTGAGATATGGACTGTAAGGTGTGGGTTTACTGTAGCGCCCTTGTTACATTGCATCAGCCTCCCATCCTCATCTTTACTCTTCTTCCCAAATGTAATTTTGCCTTGCATTATGTCACTGTGCACTTATTCTAGAAGGACAGGCTTCATTTAGCTTTTACTTTATCAGTGACATCCAAGACTTCACTTAGGTGCATACCAAATATTTCTAGCTTCCTAGTTGACTCTGGGTTAATTTTGAAATATGCTAATAACCCAACTTTTTACATTATAGCTTTAATGTGTTAACCATACCTTCTGAATGCAGTTAGGAAAGAAAAACTAACTTCCATACCCTGTAACCGACAAAGTTTTAGGTCATAGATGAAGCCCCATCTTTGCTCTCTGGTTAAGGTTATTGCACCTATAGGGGGCAGTAATAAAAGAGCATGAAGCAATGATGGAATGATGATTAGAAGGGGAGAACTAAAGAAACTTTGAGAAAAACTCTCTCCAGTTCCAGTTCATCATGAATCTCACTTGAAATAACTGGAATTGAACCTGATCCTCCAAGGTGCCGGTGCTAGTGCCTAACCACCTATGATGCGGCATCCTCTTCAGGAAGGAAGGGTTCCTGTAAAATTCTTGGTGTAGGAAAGTAACTTAGAGATATATGAAAGAAGATTATTATGTAGAGTAAGTAAGAAGAGATCATACTGTCAGCACAGTAGTGTTTTATTGTCATTTAAACAGTAAGCTACAAGTTCCAATGTGAATTGCATCTTTTTAGGCCAGTAGCATCACAAAATTTGTAACCACTAAAATGTGTGGATCAGTACTGTGATACATTTTACTGAATTTCACACCTTCATATTTATAAGAATTGTATAGTTTTTCGCCAGTTCTGTAATTATATCAACCATTATAACCAGGAAGTTGTTTAAAGTAGCAACTTCATAAATCAGATAATTTCTAACTATAACCTTTGTTCTTTTTTTCTGATTTCAACTGTTGTAAATTACTGTTTATGTTAAAATTTAGGCGAGCTTTGCGAGGCTTTCAACAAGGACTTTGTTGCCTGCAAGCATGGTGACTCCCGGAAATTTGACCTTGGCAAGTGGTTGCAGTGGCAGCAGACTTTGCAACCTGCTGTGTTGGTGGAACACACGGATGACTCTAGAATGCTAAGTGAGCTTCTGCAGTATGCTGAGAACAAGCAGTGTCAAATGGTGCCCACACAGACAACAGGTGACTTCTGTAATATGCTCAAGGAAAGTGGGAGTTCAGTCTGGCCCTCTGTCCCCATACCTCCCTTCATCAACACATCACTGTTACATCTGTGCCTTAAGAAGGGGTGCATTTTACTACATTATTGTCCACCAACCTAACCACAATTGTCCCAAAGATTATTTCTAGGAATTGACTGTGTACTCTTATTGCACCAATTTTTTTTCATTCTTTTATTCCCTTTATTTTCCATATATCCATGCAGGTAAANTTTCCGAAACGTCGTGTTTTTATTTGTTATCTTAAAAACCAGGACGATGGATAAAGTCCAAAATCCCAACATATCAGTGTGTTATACACCATCGTCAGAATCCTATAGTAACTAAATGGCAGTCATGTTTGGTTTGTCAGCCATCTTCAGTGCTTGAGGCAGAAGCCAAAATATATGTCATGAATTAAAGAGAAAATGTTGTGAGTGGTGCAGATGCTCAGTTACAAGAAATAATCTTGATTCAATCAGTATTATCATTATTGTTCCATGTATTCCACTCATCTGTAAAATTTGTCAACTTTGAGAGGCCGTGGATGAATAGGAGGGTAGGGAGAATAAATCTATGGCTTGATTATGGTCTTGATGAGGCATAATATGTCTCACACTGGTGTTAACTGACACATCATCCATTGTGAGGGAAGATTACATTATGCATGGCCTGCACCTAAACTCTCAAGGCAAGAAGAGGCTTACACAACTTATTGCTGAGAGGGTTGTTGTCATGCATCAGATGTAAGTAGTGTTCCTGCTGTCACCCATGCTACGGCATCTCCATTCTTAGCTTAAATTCAAAAGCACAGAGGTGCTTAACTTATTGTAACGTGTTTTGCCACTGAAGACGCCGTTCATATTGTTAATTGGTTTATTTAACAACCTACAAGTCGTAACTACAAATACTCATAACACAGTTGTGAGTTTACACAATTTATACACCCTACACAATAATCTGTTCACTCTATCTTCAATGGTCTTCACTTATTCACAGTACAATATGGGAACTGTACCAGTGTCACCTTCTCACACTATCGCCTCCAATCACACGTTCTGGTATTCTTCACGTTCACGATTCACTCGCTACAACTGAACTCGGCATATATTATGCTGGGATCAGAATTTTCAGTAATCTGCCATCTGATCCCAAAAGTCTTATGAATGAAAATGTGTGATTTAGAATAACACTAAAATGATACTTAAACACACACTCATTCTACTCTGTTGATGAATACTTATTGTCTAAAAAATGACTGGTCCATTTGAAGGTTGTATAAAAAGCATAAGTCGACAGTGTTGGTATATACTATATGTGGATGAACTTTTGAATAGCCTCACATGTAACCACTGAGTTTTCTTCGGTTTCCTTATATGGAAACTTCATTTGCACTGTACGTATGTTTTTGTATTTACTGTATGTCCAAAAAGTATCCGACTTTAATTTTTTCCACTGTAAGTAATGGCCAAAGAGGTGGGGAAACTGAGAGTAGTGGTAGAAGGGACTTTCATGCGCATGCATGATTTTTTGCTGACCCGCAACACTGCCGGATATGTCTGTGGCTGCCAGATAGCGAAGTGGTGTAACACATGTTTGTTGCATTCTCGTTTCGCTCAAGATGACAGAATGCTTGGAGCAGTGATACTGCATTAAGTTTTATCAGAAACTTGGGGATACCCAAGCGGAAACAATTTGCAAAATTCAGCAGGCTTTCGGGGATGGTGCAATGGGGGTCACCAAAATTAAAGACTGGTTCAACCGCTTTAAACATGGCCGTATGTTGGCGGACAGTGAGCAGCGTTCCAGGAGACCGTCAACGAGCCGAAATGCTGATGTCATTGAAAAAATCCAGACACTAATCACGGAGGACCATCGTTTGGCCATCCGTGAAGTTGCTGATGCGGTTGGGATCAGCAGAGGTTCCGCAAACACAATTTTAACTGAGGATTTGGTCACGCGAAGAGTGGCGTCAAAATTTGTGCCCAAGCTGCTTTCGCAAGAGCAGCAACAACTCCGCCTTGAGGTCGCGCAGGACATGCTGGAGTGCGCCAACAGGTATCCTGAGTTCCTGAAGACTGTGATCACTGGTGATGAGTCATGGATGTACGGATATGACCCAGAAACCAAGGTCCAGGCATCACAATGGAAGCATCCAACATTCCCGAGGGCCAAAAGAGCACGACTGGTTCAGAGCAATGTGAAGGTGATACTGACTGTTTTCTTTGATTACCGGGGTGTTGTGCATCATGAGTACGCACCACTAGGCCAGACTGTCAATAAGGAGTACTACCAAGAAGTTCTCCGCCATCTTCGTGATGCAGTTTGGCGCAAGAGACCGGAGCTGTGGGACTCAACGCAACTGGCAGCTGCATCATGACAATGCCCCAGCTCATTCATCGCACTTTATCCAGGGTTTCCTGGCCAAGCACGGCATTCTGCAGGTTCACCAGGCTCCCTACTCTCCTGACATGGTTCCTTGTGATTTCTGGCTGTTCCCAAGATTGAAGTCACTGCTAAAAGGCTGCCTTTTTGACAGCTGCAAGAACCTCATACAGAATGCGACAGTGCAGCTGCACGCCGTACCAAAAGAAGCCTTCCAGAATTGCTTCCAGCGATGGAAGGACTGCTGGGCTAAGTGTGTGGAGTCACAAGGGGCCTACTTTGAAGGCGATTAGGTATTGTAACCCCCCAGATACAGAACTCTTTTTTCCTGGCCCAAGGTCAGATACTTTTTGGACAGAGTAGTATATGACATTTTCCACATCCTGCAGTCATTTTGACTAAATTTGGATCCAGGAAATGTAATGTAAAAATGTATTTTATTGCATATAAGAAGCCTAACAGATTGTTTTTTCTTTTATGCTTGATTTCCAGTAGTATGGTTTTCAGCTACAATAATGGTATCAGATATGACCTTCAAATTTTTACCTTTGGCATGTTAGTTGTTTTTATCAAATAAAGAGTATTTCACAGGAAGCTTGAGTTACTTTCAAGAAAGTTGTTTCCAGAGGTCTGTCACCACAAAATATCAGGACCCTACATTAAATGTTTGGCTCTTGCACATGCCTCAGAAGATAAGTGTTACCAGGTTCAGTGAACATATTGTTCCTGTTTGTGCAGGTCTGTTGTCCCAGGTAAACACCAGCTTGTTGTGGCCAAGAAAAAAGAGTAAAGGTAGACGTCTTCTAAAGCAAAGTGCTACATCTTCTGTTTCTGAACCTGTGAGTATGCAATGGGAACTCATCTTAATGCAGATTTTATCACATGTATTTGTAATTTTATGTGTCTGTTGTTGTTAGTAAGTAAAGCAGAAGATGATGCAAATGCCACTATACCTGAAAGTTTGGAGTGAGTTTGCATATATGTTATTCAGAGCTGTAAGCAGTCAGCTGGACACAATATTGCATTACTATAATTTTTGGAGCCTACTGTATGGTAATTTTGCCATAAAATGCACTTTCATCCACACACAGTGTTCAGTGTTCAAGAAATAAATGTGGTTGATGAACAAATGTCTGCAGTTTTTCAGTTTTTTTCAGAGTTGGCTATGAGTGATGAAGTTACCATTTATGTTAATGGCAGTGTAAGTAAGCACTGCTGTTGGGTGATTGAAGCTTGTTATATATTCCATGAGTGACCCTGTCAATCTCCAGAGTGCACAAGGTCATTTTTTAACATTTTCAGATTTTTTCTTTGAAATTGTTGATGGCATAGCAGTGATGGTCACAGATTAATACAGAAGAATGACTGAAGATTTGCATCCACACCTGGAACAGATTGACTACATGAGACACATTTGAACATCTCATACATTATGTTCTACAAGACATCTGTCCATCCTGTTTGAAGATATTCTGTTTCTAGCCCATTCCTTAGGTTTGCTGATGCTATACGTAAAATGGCTGTATTACATTTGACGTTGCAATACATGAAACCTAAGGAACTGACAATTCCCAATGCAGTGCTGTTTAGTGTCATGATGGATTTTACACAACACCTAGAGGAACGTGAGTGATGATCTTGTTCAAAAAGAAAGCTGGTGCTACACGATTTCAGAACATTCATGTGAATTTCCACACATTTCATGTATTGTTCTCTATGAGATTATCACAGTTAGGCTAGGCTATCACAAGTTTTATGCAAGATGGGTTTTGAAAATTGTCACAGGTGCACATAAGATGCAGAGAATGGCTTCAGCTTTGACTTCTTTAGAGCAATACCACAAAGATGGTGATGAATTTTTCAGTCACATCATAAGAGTCACGGATGATGAAATCTGGGTTTCGTTTGTGAATGCTGAAGTCGAAGAACGGTCAGACCAGTGGATGCACACACATTCACCAGACAAACTGAAAAAGTTTTGAGAAACATCTGCCAGAAAGCTGATGGCAAATGTTTTCTGGGACAGGATAGGAAAGGAGTGCTGATGGAATTCATGCAACCAGGGACCACAAAAAAAAGCGTCAGAGATGTATTGCGAAACACTAAGAAGTCTACATAGGGCCATTCAGAATGAGGGTTTGAAATTCTGACATCCAGTATAATGCTTCTTTAAGACATTGTATGTCCACACAACTGCTTGCACTTGAGAACTACTGGAGAATTTCAACCGGGAGTTGTTTGACCACCCTCCTTACAGCCCTGATCTCACTCTGAGCAACTGCTACCTGTTTACCTATCTGAAGAACTGGGTGGGATCACAGCACTTCAACAATAATGAGGAGTTCATGGAAGGTGTCAAAACATTGCCGAGCTCACAGGCAGCAGACTTCTTTCACATGGACATACAAAAACTTATTCCCCAATGCAACATATGCCACAAGTCTGACAGTGACTACGTTGAGAAGTATTGTAAGTATGTAAGATTTGAGGTTTTCATGGCAGTGACTATGAAAAAAGCAGTCTTCTGGGATGTGGCACTGTGTAGATGTGTTAACCGACGTTTCGGAGGAACGTAATGCCTCCATTTTCAGGATAGAAGGAAAAATAAGAAATCTGCAAGCAAAGAGACCATGAAAACTGGTACAAGCAGACTGATGTTGGAAATAAACACAGCTATGTGAGAGCAGTGTAAGTATGTACATATTTTTTATGCTTAATTTTTTAGCATTCTGGACCCTGTTGGGTCAAGGGAAGGGCTGCGAGGTGTTTTAAAGCTGTGCCTCTGAACTAGTATCTCAAAATATCCAAATTTATTCTTCTACTTAAGCTGATAAAACAGCACATGACTTTGTAGCCTCTATAGCCCTTGTATGTGTTCAGTAAAGCATCTATACTCGCCTGAGATCACAATAGTTACAGAAAGTGGTGTCCTCCAGCTTTCAGGCATATTTCACAACAGTGTTAGAGTTTCTGAGACACATTGATGTTCACCTGTCATTTCTATCATAGCATTCTGGATTTCATCTGTAAAACCTTCAGATTTCATGGATTAAGTATGTACACTGTGTTTAAAGTTTTTCCACAGACATTTAGATCCTGGGTACATGACAGTCATAGTCCTTTGCTGATTAAGTTTTCAGCAAAAACATTGTGTAATACGAGGCTCGTCCACAAAGTAAGTTTCCCTGGGGCCATTGACAGAAACAAAACACAATTTCATGGAAATATTTATTGCAACAGATACAGCAAGTGTTCAGCTATTTTTCAACATAATCGCCACCGGAATTGAGACATTTGTCATACTGTGGGACCAACTTTTGAGTACCTGTGTCGTAGAAGTCTGCCGCCTGGGATTGGAACCACTGTGTGACAACCATCTCCGCCTCTCTATCGTTCTCAAAACGCTGACGCTCACCGGACAGGAATTTCTTGAGGTGTAGGAAAAGATGGAAATCACTGGGAGCGAGGTCCGGCTGTAGGGTGGATGATTAAACTCCTGCAGGAGACTTGCTGTCCGTTGAGCCATGTGCGGCCTAGCGTTATTGTGCAGGAAGACAATACCGGCACTAAGCATCCCACACCGGTTGTTCTGAATGGCCCATTGCAATTTCTGCAGTGTTTCACAGTAATGCTCAGCATTTACCATCTCACCTCTGGTCAGGAAATCGACTTGGAGATTCTGTCCCAGAATACCATGCACATCACTTTTTGCGCCGACAACGTCTGCTTGAATTTCGTCTTACAGGGAGATCCACTGTGACGCCAATGAATTGAGTGGTGCTTGGTTTCTGGGATAATGTGTGCAATCCACATGTCATCACCTGTGATGATCCGATCCAGAAACTCGTTGCCGTCATCATGATACCACTGCAGGAATGTCAATGCTGACTCCATGCGCTTTGTTCTGTGTTCTGGTGTCAGTTGCTTCGGCACCCACCTGGCGCGCAATTTCCTGAACAGGTGCTCCATAACAATTTCATGCAACAAGGAGCGGGAAATCTGCAGGACATGACTGCTGAGTTCCGTAATTGTTACGCGACGATTCTCCATAATGTGTTCCCACACAAGCTCCACCAGGTCGTCTGTAATGATGGATGATTGCCCACTGCACTTCTCATCATGCACACTTTGTCGACCTGCTGAAAATTGTCTGCACCAGCGACGCACCATCTGCTTGCTCATGACGTTAGGCCCATAGACCCGGCACAGCTGATGATGAATTTCGATTGGCGCTATGCTCTGTGCATTCAAAAGCTTTATCACTGACCGCACTTCACAGTCGGCGGGAGCTAGAATAAGAGCCTCCATCTTCAACAGCTGCAACGATGCTACTGTGGGAACGCGGGAAATTCCATTGGTGCATGTGCCATGCTACGTCATTGCTCTATCACGTACGCGCAGTTGCTTCGCGCAATATAAGGTTTGCTAGCTGTGGGACGAGTGAGAAACTTACTTTGTGGACGTGCTATGTATGAGCATTGAATTTTTTTGTGATGTTTTATAGTACATTGTTCATCTTAAAATACTCATCACTAATTCTCATTAATTATTCAGTACCCTAACTCGCTGTGGCTTGACGTCACCTACACAAAGAATGATCAAGCTGTCACAAGAACAGACATGTGGTGATTCATGGAAATGATGTGGATTTCTTATAGACATGACTGTCTGTGTACATTCGTGACATTCCCTGGATCATAGAATGTTTTATCTGTGGGGAAACAATCAAGAATCCTGCATAATTAGACATTTCAGAGGCATCATAGATTAAAATCTGAAATGTTATTCCAGAAATTATAGAAGATAACTTAGTATTACGCAGGATTTGTTATGATTCTGTATTTCAGCATCCCATTGCAATTGTTCAAATTAGCTTCCATTGTTTATCTTCCATCAAAATTGCAACACTTTTACATTCTACACTTCAACACTACATGTTTCAGCCTCAAACAGCCATCTTCAGGTGTTTTTATGTAACAGATATTTTACTGAAACTGTGTTAAAAACTGCTACCCTGTTTTAATTCATGTTAAAAATCACATGCTGTAGTCTTCTTTTTAAGTAAAACAAAGGACTTTATCTTGTTTTACTTAAAAAGAAGACTACAGCTTGTGATTTTAACACGAATTAAAACAGTGTAGCAGTTTTTAACACAGTTTTAGTAAAATATCTGTAACATAAAAACACCTGAAGATGGCTGTTTGAGGCTGAAACATGTAATGTTGAAGTGCAGCATGTAAAAGTGTTGCAATTTTGACGGAAGATAAGCAATGGACACTAATAGGATTTGTTATGTTTGCATGAAATATGCTTGGACAGTTGAAGACTCCACTTTCAACAGCTGTTGTATTGTCAGTGGAGTGATTACTGAAAACATTTATTAAGCATGGACCAAATATCCAGTTAGATCATGCATTAGCATGTATTTTCTGAGAGAAACTGTGCACTAGTTGACATGTTGCTCTTTGAAGAGGTGGTAATGAGGCTGTAAAAGGAAAGAAAGAACCTCTTTGCATTTTGAAGAGGACAGCAAAATCGAACACAGCTTGTGGCTTTGGCATATTTTTTTATGTATTTACCATATAAAGAAAGCATTGAACCACCAAGTAAACATGTGAGCTGAACATGTTTTATTTGGGTACAAAACTGTGAAATTAGACCTTGGAGAACTGGATACTGTCTCATTCTGCCACCTTTGACCCATTTATATAACTAAAAGCACATGATTTAGATGGAGGCATTAGATTGGCTGCCTGAGTGTTCTGGCCATTACCTGATGCACTAATGGAGTGGTGCTCTACTCATATAGGGGTTCAACAACAAGCAGACATTCTGTAAAAGTTCATTCCTGATAGCATTATATACCACATCTGTGTATTTAAACATTATTTCTGTCTTGCAGAAAATGTGTGGAAAGAAAGATGAAGTTGCAGCTGTGTCTGTTTCAAATGCAAAAGAGAACTCTGCTTCGTACCACTTGCAACCTGAAGCTGCTGTCATATCAAGCCGTTCTCCATTACTTCAGACAACAGCAGAGATTGTGGATATAGAGACAGATGAAAAACTATCAAACACAGTATTGATAGAAATACCTAATGATCAGAATAATATTGCAGCAACAGCAGAGCAGAAAGCTGTTTCACCAAAGAAAGATTTGACTAATGATGACTTATGCTATTTCTGCAAAAATGCTTTATTTTACTGCCATCACATAGTCTCTTGTATATCTACAATTGAAAATAACAGAGCAGAGAACAAATGTTACAAGAGTCTTGATCTGTGTGCTCTAAATAATTTCACTGAAGCTAATGTGATTGCATTTGATTTAAAGCAGCTCCTGAGTCCATTTGAAGATCATAATGTTGACACTTCTGTTGAGGAGGGAAAAATTTCCAGTTACCATGACTATGAACATGCCAGTGAAGTAAAGTCTCAAAAGGATGAAAGAGACATGAAACTTAACTTTAATTTGGACTTCTCTGTCTTTGAACATTACTTACTGGGGGAAGAAATGCTTCCTGAAAATCCTACTGGTAACTTTAAATCTGAAATGGCAGTTTCTAAAGTGGATCACCATATTACAGATGTAAATGTAGGTCCTGGAAACATACGCAGTAATTCAGCTTTCCCAAAAATTGAAAGCCCAGTACAACCTGAGAGAGAAATTAAACCCATGCAGGAATCTTTTTCTAGTGTTTCATTGGGCAGATTAAGTAACACTGAACACACACCAAAGAGAAGTCGACAGATGGAAACAGACTTTTCACATAAAGAAACACCAAGTAACCTCTTATTATCGTCTGTGTCACCAATTTTTGGTTCTGTGCTCAAGAAGCATACACCAGAATCACCAGTTCTTGGTTCTGTGCTCAAGAATATTTCTCATAATTCAACAAGGACATTTCCAGTGTGCTCAACACCAAAAGTTCATAAAAAGACTCTGTTTTCAGGAAATGTAGTGTTGGACACTGTACAGGAAAAAGGAGGCGATTTCACTTTAGGCAGTACCCAGAATTTGAAAGTCAAGGGTGATGGGTCTCTGAACACACACACATTTCATGGCTGTGAGGAGCCATTGAATTCACCTGTACCTGAGGTTCAAGCTCTACCAAGACCTAATTTTGATTTGTTGAGTGCTGCACAGGATATTGGAATCCTGAAGCCTGGTTTTAAAAATGTGAGGAATGCAGACAGCTTTACAAACAGCACCATGTACACTGTCACACAGATGCTTGATCTAGTTGATAAGGAGCTGAACATTGTTGATGTTGCTGAGCCAGTAAAAATATGTAGATCTGTCCAAGATACTGTACCATGCACATTCACCGAATCACGTGTTGCAGAAGGCATTTCAGGGAAGGGTGATAAATGTTCAGATACTGTAAACCATGGCAGTATGTCTAATATCACATCCCTGGTTAGGAATTCAACAAAAACGATCACATCATCACTTTCATCCCATACAGTACAAAATACACCAATACATTGTGAGCAGAAGTCAAAACAGACACACAGTTATCTTCACGATAGTGATGATGATGTCTTTGTGAATTTAGATCTGGATCATAATATGTTCACCAAATGTAAACAGAACACATCAGTAATATCAGAGGTGCATACTGTGGATAATAGTATGGAAGTAGACACAGATTTGCTAGCAAATGGTGACAGATCGCAGCATGAAATTGGGGATGATATTGGTAAACAAGAATTTGATACTGAGGTCCCATCACTTATGTCTGCAGCACCTCAGATTACAAAAGTATCAAAATATTCTACTGTTGGCCATAATCAGGTGACCGCTGCAGTTTCAAAGCCTTCACTTTCTTGCTTAAGTTTAAAGCATAAGGAAAAAGACTCTGCTAAGATTACTTGCACAGGAAATTCACTAAAAACTATGGGAAGTAAGCCAAATATTTCATCTATAGATCCAAAGACAAATTATGATGAGGAAAGCCTGTCCAATATCATTGGAGATGTTACTGTGGGTGCAGCTGTGAAGCAGAAGGAAATAAATAGAAGTATATATTCTGATGGTCAGTTGGACTGGTGCATCTCACTGAACAATCAGAAGACAGTTCCATATGGCAGCAGTGTTGCCAGCATTTGCAAAGCTTCATCAGGTGATGACTCACTAGTTCTGAAGCCTCTTGTAAGAAACAGAAAGACAAACATCTCTTCCACATCTAATGAGAGTAGAGATTTATCTTCTTATAGTACAAAGAGCAGAATAATAAGGCATGAGAGAATAAAGAAGAGCAAATCGCTTCCTGTTGAAGACTCTCTTTGGTTGACAGCCAGAAAGAGTAATCTGGACACATTAACATCATCATCATCATCATCATCAGATAGCCCACAACTTATTACTGATGTAAAGAAACATAACAGTTCTACTGGCAACAAATCTGTAGTGAAAAATGATGGTGCAATTTCTTCCGAAGATGATTCATATTTTCAGTCTCCAAGCTTGGTGAGACTGAAGAAGAGAAATCAAAGCAAAAGTGCAGTTAAAACTGACAGATATAAATGCCGTAGAAAAAGCACTCCTGTCAACAAAAAACCGAAGGTAAGTTATTTGTTAGGATTTTTGTAATAACGCAGTCACTGTGCTATCTTTGTGCCCAGGAAGTGCATTGTTGTTATTCCCTTCCCTAATTAATTTTCACTGTTCACAGTATCTCCCTGTGACTTGAATATAAATTTGAGCATGGCATACTATTGAAGCAGATGGCAGTGTTGCTCAAGTATGCATTGAAGTCTGACACATTGAATAATTTTTATATCATGAAGTATTGCTTTTTTTAGTTGTACATTGAAGTTAACTGTGAAAGTTTTCATTAAAACAACATATTTTTAGTACATCGTTCTTTTACTTTCAAATTGTCATGACTACTTTCTGAGCTGAACCCGTGTTAACAGGATAATATTACAGTGATTTGAATAATTCTGTTTGTGTGTCCGTAATGTATAACACATCATTATTGTATCAAGAAAGCCATCTTCTGAGATATGTGAGAATTATGTGGTTAAGCTTTTACTTGACCTGGAAGAATGTCAGGATATAACATACACTGTACAACACTGAGCTTGAAAATTTTCTGTAAAATGCTGAATAGGATCAAAGAATCATTCACATATATGTTCCAGAATTGCCATTGAAGGGGTGAGCCCTTGAAGTTTGGTGGATCCCTGAATCACCTTCTGTGAAATGAGAGAGACTGATTTTGTCTGGGTTTTTGCTATATTTATTCATGTCTCTTATGCACTTCCTTATCCAAGAAATCTTGTCTGGAGATTGTGGTGCATAAGGTATCAAGAATGCTAATATCACTTGTTAAGCTGAGCCACTTACAGTTGAATGTGTTGTGACATGATATGGATATTTGTTCCTACAGACCTCACCACATGATTCCTCAGATAGACAAAATTGCCCCTTGATAAAATTTAATGGACACATAAGTTTTGTGAAAAATGCATTGCAGGTTGAATGTGGTGTGGCAACCTGGTATGGGTGTGTGTGTCTGTCTACTCCACATTGCGATTCCTTGATGAACATTGGGATAAAAGTTACCTTTGATAAATCTGAAGCATAATTTTTGCAGAAAATGTAATTAAACTCCAACATACTGTGTTGCTATGATGGCACTTAACTTTAGTCACATATACATGTATGTGTGACATACATGTATGTCGGAATTTTATATCAGTTCAGTGTGTTTCACAGTAAAAATATGTATTGTGACATGATGCGTGATAAAGCCAGCCATCACTTGGTAATGACTTGATAAAAAGTTTCTGCAGTGCCAAATAAACACACAGCAACAAAGCAACTGTTGTAAGCAGTGTAATCTATTTAATTTGATCTAAAGCTGCATAGCAAGTTACCATCAGCAGTTGCAGTCAGCAGTAGTTGACGGCCAGTGAGAGCCATATGTAGTTGGTGATGGCTGGTGATGCCATGAGTTAGTTCGGAGTCAACAGTTGAGACAGCTGTGAGACATTTGCCAGCCAGCGAGGACATGAACATGGAAGTAAAGGACTCTACATTGTTCAAAGCTGTAACCTAGCAACAGCTGGTGAAGACAAACTGAGAAGGCTTAGCGTGTGCTATAATGAGAAGTGGAATGCGTGAATTAGCGGAGCTCTATAATTGTAGTTACGATTTATATGAGTTCAGTAAATCTAGTTACCAATCCAGACCCCATGTATAATCACTAACACATGGACAACACGTAATTTTTCTCTGAAATCTATTGTCTAAATGTAGGGGTGCATAAATTATGTGAGGAAATGCAATTTATGTCTTAGCTCAGTTATGTGCTCTATGCCTAAAGTTCTCTTCATCAGTGCTGAAAATATCTGTTTCCTGCAGCATGGTTTACCTCATTGTGCCTTTGTGGAGAGTGAAGCTGAGGAATCTGGTTCATGCCTCTCTTCATTTGATGATGAAGACACCAGTGGTTTAGATAACTATGACTCCAGTTTTGTTAGTGACTCTGGTGACCAGACACACACTGATATTCAGGCCAAGTTCCTGCATTCCCTCATACGGTATGTCTGCCAGTTATTAACCAAATTACTTTTATCTCTGTGTTTTCTAATGCCTACTTTTTGATGTTCTGTTTTATCCATTCCTTTTACATGGCCAAAATCTTTGATCTGATCCCATCTGAATTTTTTTTCTTCCAAAGTAAATAAATCCTTTTGTTGTGTGTTGGCATCTTGTTTTTCCATAAGTTGCAGCTACTGGATGTATATATAAGAAATCTGTGGTATTTTGTTTCTCTGTATAGTATTACTGTATACACAAGTCTAAGATTCAAATTCACTATTTTTAAATATTCTCCTTTTATATGATGTGATGAATGTAGAAATGTGTGCTACAGTCTCAGAATTCTGATCAACTTTGTATTTTTTGTAACTGAAATAATGTGCTGTTTTTTGTTTCTTTGCTAAACGCCTCAGAAAGCTCTTCAACATGCATTAGAATAAATGCAGATAAATGGTTTACCCACCTGTATCATTAAACATATTCCTAGTTCTGCCTGTATCCACCAGCAGATTTTTACTGCAGCAATGTTCTTTAACCCGCAGTTTGTGTAAATAATGGTTAGAAATTTCACCACGCTATAAAATTATGTGTCATCTACAACTTGAACATGGATTAACATACCCTTTACAAACTTAGGAACTCTTGGTGTTATTAGGTCAGTTGCACAACACTGTGTATTGCTGTATATACTTAACAGATGTGAGTGGTTTAATGGTTATGCTTGCAGCCACCCCATATGGGGTAAGCAAATACAGTATTTCCAAATGAAGGTGAACATAATATATCATGTAAGATTTATATCTAATGCATGATTATGCAATTAATGATTTTGAGATGAAAGTCTGGTTCTTACATGGACATCTACCAAGTACTATAGATATTTTCACATTAATAGATTATGAGTTATGATGATAGCTTATGAGGAACCCAATGTGTAAACACAATTTTTTTTATGTTGTGGATAACATACACTTATGTTTTACAGAAGTCCGGGTAGTAGACAGGGTCATTTCAAGATGCCTGCATATAAGCCACCAGTACCACTGGAGGATGTGTTCTCCCAGGTGGAAGCAGAATTTGAGACGTCTTATTTAGAGGTAAGTGATTATGTTGAAATGAGAATCAGGAAATTTTATGCGGTAGGTGGGTCAGATCGTCTTTAATATGGGTCTGCTTGTAATATGTGTAATTCAAGTTTACTTTGCTCAGAAAAGCATTCTCTTAACCAAACTGGGTATTCTGTTGCTTCAACAGAACTTATTTTTTACACAGGTAAGTGTTAAAAATTGATTGCTTGAAAAAGGGAGGAGAAAATTCCTGAGCATGGGTTCATAGATAAAGTGGCAGAATAAAATTCAAACAGATGCCATGCTACCTTACATAATGGAAGTTTGTAAAATTTCTAAAATTGCTCATTCTAATGACTACGTTTAATAATATCCAAAAATTGTTGAAATGTGTAACCTTCAATTTCATCACTTAATTTGGGATTGTATGCAAGTACAGTATAAGACATGTTAAAAAAGAGTTTATGTGTATGGAAATGTCCCCACCGCCATTTTTAAGTCATATGATGCAGACATATTAACAAAGGTAAACATTTTTTATATATATATTTTTTTTATTTCATAACTAAGAAGTTACAGATATTCTCTTGTTCTTGTACTCATAATTGACTACTTCTTAAGCAAGCAGAATACCTGTGCCTACCTGCTACATGAGCAGCCTCCGTAGTCTAGGGGTAACGTTCCCACCTCATGACTCAAGGTACGCGGGTTCAAACCTGGCGGAGGTCGTGGAATTTTTAAGGGCAGAAAAATTCAGGGAAAAAGTCCTCCGGGAGGGACTTTAAGCCGTGTGTCCCGTGTTGTAGATTTACGGCACGTGAAAGATCCTCATGTCTCTAGGAGACCTCTGAGCAAAATTAGGCAAAGTTTCCCGCCCAAGTAGTTTCCAATTCCTCTGGTAGATGGGGAAGTATCAGGGACCACTGCCAGAGAGGCGGGCGACCTCGCTTTCAGAACGGGGCTGATAGCGAGCACCAGTACTGGAAGGGCAGGGCGACTAGTAGAATAATTAAAGGTGGACGCACAATAGATCAACAACTGGTCGTAGTGCATGGGGAAACCCACCCCCTCCAAAATGATGATAATAATAATACTTGCTACACACTACAGAGCATGAAGTTAAAACTGAATGACTTTTTCATATGTATGCATGCATATGCATTTTACTACTGCCTGTCTCCAAATGAAGCAGAGTTACCTTAAGTTTTGTGCATACAAATGCCTTTTTTTTTTTTCCTTTGAAATGATGAGGCCCCAATTCAGATCACAGAAAGTAGTCAGTTTGTTAACCATACTATGAAGTAATTGGCCTCTGCCTTGATCATTGCTCCATGAATTGATCAGCTGCTCTTTACTGGCAAAACCATTTTAAGAGCATGGTTTAAAAGTGTTCATGCCCTGTGTTGCTTATTTGTTTGTGTCACTGGTCTTCCATCACACAGAACTACTGATCATATTTCATCTTTGATTTTCAAAGTGCCAAAAATATTGAAAAAGTCAGGCCATATAAGTTTGCACTTTCATTTCATTGTGATAATTGGGGTTGAACACTTCTTAAATTGAATAGTATACAGTGCAGTCACAGAAGCATTTTCAACCCTCATTCACCAGCTGTGTTGCACAGTATACAATGAAACAAGCTATTGGACTAAAAAGAAGTTCAGAATTTGGAAAGAACTCAGCTTTGAAGCCATTCATTTGTCACATCTTGAGCAGTCAGTAGATGTTTGTAGATTGCATATTAAAAGAACTGTGCATGCATGCAGTGCACTTTTGCCTAAGTTTGAGCATGCCCTCTGTTCAGTCAGATTTGAGGTTCTTACAGTGATGCCATATAGTGTGTTAAATGATTACCGAAGATCTGGGGGAACACACTGCCTCCATCATCAGGATTGAGGAGTCAGCCATGCAAGCAAGCAGAGAGAGCCATGCATAGAAAAATGTGGTGCAAATATAGGCCGAGGTAGGGGGGCCTGAGTGAACTAGTAGTGACCCAAAAAGCGGCTATCCTGGTCTATATCTGTACAATATTTTCTGTGCATACTGCTCTCTTGCACTGTTGGCTTTTGACCATGAAGATGGAAGCAGCCTGTTCCTGTGAAAAGTAAGTAAACTTCTGACAGACAACATAGCATTGCATCCCTGAAGACAGTATTCTTCACACAGTACTCACATTCTAGAATGGATGCTTTCTTCTAGACAAAGGAGAGGCTCAGAATGGGGGTTGACAGTCTTCTACAGACTATCTGCTTTAAGTAGCATGTGAAGCAAAAATCAATTACAGCTGGTACAAAATGTGATGCAAGAAAAGTCATGGCTTGTTATAAATTGTCTGTAGTGATGAGAGTGCCATTAAAGTTCCTATTTTAAATTAGATTTTTTTTGTATGTGTAACATTAAAAAATTTAAGGTTTCAGTGATTTTATTGCTGTGATGAAGTTCTCATAAGCCATATCTGAAGAGTTCTGTCTTCTGGGATATGACACCAGGTAGTCTGTTGAAAGTCAACCAGGGTTTTAAGGAAGCATGTCATCTCAATCTTCAGAGTCGAAGAATCAGTGAAGCAAGGAACCATTGTGAAACCAATAGCATGCTACCAGAAAATAGAACTCTTCATAACCACTGCTATGAGAACTTCATATCTTACAGGTGCCTTATCTGTTGTTCTACCGTGGTTACACTTACTTCTATCCAGACTATAAAGGAATTTAATGGAGGGTTGATGTGGCATGTTTGTTCTGCAACTCCCTGTAGGTAAACCATTCATCTGTCTGTGGTTTATTGGAGGAAGAACAAATAGTTGTGCTTACAGGATTGCAAGGTTCTCGTTCATTTGTATTGCTGTATGTTGCCTGTTACTGTTCTGTTCTTTTCTTTCAGACATGCAGATAGCATAGGGAATCATCAGATTAAATTATTTAATGTAATGCTTCACTGTTTTAGGATTCATTCTGTGTGAATGAAGAACCACACAGTGAGAAGATGGAATCTTCAGTTCTTGAGGAAGCTGAAGCAATATTAGAAGCCAAGTCTAAGTGGAAGCGAAAGAGAAGAAAACGGATGAGGTCAAGCAGTGCTAGTGATTATGGGGAAGGAACTAGTGGCAATAATATTAAATATGATGCAAGTAGGAGCAAGAAACGCCGTCTCCGGATAGTGACGATTGAAAGTTCAGATAGTGAGAGCAGCAGTCAAGCTGTAAACAAAATTTCCGTTGTTGTAGAGGTCCATCATCAGAAAGAAATTCCAGTACCTTCACCCAAAATACACGCAGAAACTGTAAACAATGCTGGCATTTCTGATGTAGGTAAATCAGAAACTGAATTTGTGTACAAGAAATCTATTAGCTGTGGAGTCCTAGGTAAGAGTCCTGTTTCAACCAAACAGAGTGTTTGTAAGACCGAAACAGCGGCTGTAACTGATGAATTGAATTGGAGTGATTGGAATTTTGACAGTCTTGAATTGTCTTCATTTAAAGAAGTCTTTGTAAAAAAAGAAAACAGGAAATCTGTGATCACATGTAACATTAATGAATCTAAAGGCGCTGAATGCTTGAGTGTAGGTGAAGAGGGAATGATACCACCAGTTTTAACGTGTTCAAGGAAATTGGTTTCTAAGGCTGTTCGTTCACTGAGTGCAGAATTTGACAAGGAAGCAGTACCAACTGCAATATCTGGTGATAGTGATACAAGACAATTGGCATTTGTTGGTGCTGATAATTCTGTGTTATCTGCACCAGGGAGCAGCATTGCAGCATTATCACAGGAACAGCAATTTAAAGTCTTGAGAACTACAGTATTAGAGGTAAGTCAAGACATATGCTCTGATTATCTGTGCACTTCTTTTAGTTTAATTTTTGTTATTTGTTGCATTTATGGAATGAGACGGCAGTTCCTTGTTGTTGGGGAGGGGTTTACTTTAAGTACATACCCACTGCCTTGTACTGCTGCTTGTACCTTAGTCCCTGGCCTGTTACACTGTCATGTGCTGAAATATCTGTCTCACTGTAACCTGGGTGTCCAGAACAGTGGTAAGGGAAGAAAAAGAAAACCCAAAATTGTGTGCATTTATTGTCATCTGCCAGTAATCTGTTGTGGGCATGAAAGATGAATCACAGAAATCATACAATCTGCTGGCTATTCTCTGCCACTTTCTTGTTTATTTACAATATTTATGTAAAGTATGGAGCCAGCATAGCGTAGTCAGTATAGCAACTGGCTATGGGCTGGATGACCGAGGAGTCACATTTTGAGTCCCAGAAGGGTCAAGAATTTTCACTTCTCCAATCATCCAGACCGGCTGTGGGGTCCACGCAACCTCCTATACAATGGTTAAAGCGGCTGGGCCGTGAAGCTGACCACTCACCTCCAACAAGTGCCAAGGTCAAGAAAATGTGAATCTATACATCCACTCCCCTATACATCTTCATGGTGCTTAATTAGTTAAGCACAGGGACAGCTTTACCTTTCCTTATGTAAACTATGCTGTATAGGGTTTTTGTAGGGAAGCCCCAATAAAAGAAATGGGTAGGAATACTTAGAAATACAGGGTGGGAAGAAGAAACTTCCTCTTTGGGAAGACACATTGTGAATGGAGGGGAGGTCGCAGAAAAGTGGGGATAGGCTCAGTGAATGCAGCAGTCGCAGAAGTTTCTGTCTAATACCCCTCAGTAGGAAACACAAGGTGGACGAGTGAGCAGCATGTGTTTGCTGTCGAAGCCTATTTTTCGAACAACCATTCCTACGTGGCGGTGCAGTGTGCATTCCATACTCCAGAATTAATCCCAGAGGTCCAGTTCCCGACCGGAAATCGATTGTTTTGTGGGTAAAGAACTTTAGGAGAACCGGGAGTGTGGTGAAAAAATCGTCAGGATGACAACGGACCATTACAATGCCAGAAAATGTGGAGGCAGTTCGACAGTCGATTTTGAGATCTCCAAGCCACTCCGCTCGCAAACATGCAGTCGCCCTAGGCATATCCAATCATTCAATGCACTGAATTCTTCATGAACATCTTCATTTCCATCCCTATAAAATGGTTGTTGTACAAGAATTGTCACCACATGATTTCCAGAACCGAATAATGGTGTGCGAAACGTTATTGGAAACTTCAGCCCCTGACGTGCTTGTTTTCTTTAGTGATGAGGCACATTTTCACCTATCCAGATATGTCAACAAGCAGAATATGCACTATTGGAGTGGTAACAATCCCAGAGAGCTCCATGAGAGGCCACTTCACTGTGATAAGGAGACAGTATGGTGTGCGTTGTCAAGAGTTGGAGTTATTGGCCCTTATTTTTTTGAAGAAGACAATCATGCAGTTACTGCCAATTCACAGTGGTATGTGGTCACGATTAAAAACTTTTTCGAACCAGCTCTTGAAGAAATGCATCTAGGCAATGTCTGGTTCCAACAGGATGGTGCCACGGCCCACACAGCCCGAGCTTCGATGACATTTTTGAGGGCAAAGTTCCCTGGACGGCTCATCTCACTTCAAGGTGACATCCCGTGGGCAGCGCACTCACCTGATCTAACGCCCTGTGATTTTTTTATGGGGATACCTCAAGGCAGAAGTTTTTAAACATCGCCCCAAAAACCTGCTTCAGCTGAAGAATGTTATTCAGCAGGAAGTAACCCAAATTCCGGTGCACATGTTGGAACTTGCAGAGGGGAACTTCAGAAAACGGTTGCATCAGTGCATAGAGAACGATGGCCACCACCTTCAAGATATTTTCTTTAAAACTACATGATTTAAAACTTTAAAGTATGTTATTTCATTAGCTAAATATAAATTTTGTCTATCAGCAATAATTTTTCTTTTATTCGCCTTCAAAAAAAGGAAGTTTCTGCGCCCCACCCTGTAGGTGGGAGGATAGCATTGAAATGGGTCTTGAATAAGTAGACTAGACAGTGTGGACTGAATTTATTGGCTCAGGATAAGGACCAGTGACTGGCTCATGTAAACAGTACCATATGGAATCTTGGGGTTCCACAATTTGCTGACAATTTTCTGAGTGGCTGAGAAATTAATGGCTTCTCGAGAAGGGCTGAGCCCCATGGAGTTATGTATGCACATGTAATAGTAATTCCTTATTCCAGTTGTCGTTTATGCTCTTTAGTGTTTTCACCTAATGTTGCCTACTTTGTCCAGGCTAGAAAACCGAAATTAACAACCATGGGGTTCATTGCGCTGACCACGCAACACCCTCTATCCGCTAAAGTTGACACAAACTTCGCCGACAAGTGGTGGTCGCTTGATCGGTATAGTTTGCTTGTGAGCTAAAACCACGGAGTTTGTTTGTTTATTGCCTACTTTACTGTTTCACTCACTGTTAATGTATGCAGTTCATACATCTGTCCAAATAATTCTTAATAGCTAACTCTCAGTGTTTATGGCTAAACAAGCTTCTCATTGTGCCCATTGGCTATCAGCAAGCTGATGATTATGAACTAATAACTAGGATCCATGCTTATATTATTGTCAAACTCCAGGTGCTGTTACATCTGCCTCCCTGAATCAGTGTAATCGTCTGAAGATTGATCCTCCATCTCTGGTTGACTGTCTAACCTCAGGAGCTCAAGAGTCATCTGTTGACCCAATTACTCTCTTTATAAATAATTATTCTACATAGTCAGCATTTCACCGTAGCTGTGACCCAGTCTCTTGCTTTTTTAGGCATAAATTCCTGTAATGTTTTGCAGTCTTACTTCCTGACTACATTACTGCATGTTAATTAATGTGATCTGCTTAAAGTTACAATGGTATATCACAGTTTTCTTATGTTTGAATTTAATGCCCAAAATCTCTTGCAGTGCAACCCCAGTGCTGCTCAGCAATGACATCATGTCATTGTGTACACAGCTACTTGTGTACCAAGCTTTCTTCTCTCTATCAATCTGTAATAGTTTTTTAAAAGGGAAAACAAGTATGTTCCTCCTCTATAGCATGACTTTTGCTACACTATCGTGTGCATAATGTAGGAGTATATCATTTTTGGCAATCCTTCATCCCCAGTCAGCCCAGGTAATTTTTGGTAATTCTTTCTCTCTACTCAAATGGCTTAGATAATTTTGGGCAATCCTTTCTCTATTCCATTGGCCTGTATAATATACTCCACTTAACTTAGAAAATTTTGGGTAATCCATCCTGTGCACTTTGTTAACCTCTCTTAGCCTGGACTGTTCTGTATGATCATTATTGTCTGTTAGTCTGGATTGTGTAATACTTTGTTTCCACTTGGGTAGTCTAGATAATTTTGTGCTGTATTTTCTCTCCACTTCCATTAGCCTGAATAATTTTGTGTAATCCTTTTTTCCACTCCTGGCTTTGATAATTTTGGGTAATCCTTCTTGTACACTATTAGCCTGGATAGTTTTCTGTAATCCTTTCTGTATTTCTGTTAGCCTATGTAATTTTGTGTAATCCTTCCTCTATACTCTTTTCTTCTTCTTTTACTGTTCTTACGGACCACAATGAACCTTCATATCTTTTACGATTGCTTGCCATTGTTCCTCATCGTGTGACTTTTGTATCCAATTTCTAATGTTCATTGTTTTCAAATCGTCTTCAACCGAATCCAGCCACTTGATAACAGGTCTACCTACTTCTTGAGTACCCTCAGGAAATGTTCTCCTTCTACATAGGGACAGCACATTCTGCTACATTATTTTAGGTGTTTCTGTCCAGCTGCAATTGTTAAAAGCTTCTCAACAGTTAGTGCTTTCTGTAGGACAGAATAATATTCGGAAATCCTTTCTGTCCAATGCATTAGCCTAGATAATTCTGTCGAATCTTTTCTCACCATTCTGCTAGCTGAGGTAATTCTGGGTAATCTTTCCTGTCAACTCCATTTACCTGCATAATTTTTTGTCTTCACTGTTAGCCTTGATCATTTTCCATAATCCTTTCTGTTACATTAACATAGATAATTTTGTATAATCCTTTTACTCATGCCGTAATTGTGACCTTAATCAAGCACCAAAGATTAAACTTAAGAATACTAAGATAAGCTCTTTTAATTTATTTCACCAGAATATTAGAGGTTTACAACATAAAATTGATGAACTGATTTGTATGTTAATTAGTCATGATTTAAGCCCACATGTAATTTGTATAACTGAACGTTACTTAACTGAGCAGAAACTTTTATTGATCAAACCAGAAAATTATTGTTTAACCTCCCAATTCTCATGATCATTAAGTAATGGTGGAGGTGTTTGTATATATTGTAAATTGGATATGGACTGTAATCCAATTGATATAACACAATATTGCATGGAAAAGGTGATTGAGGCCTGTGCAGTCCGATTAAATATTGGTAATAATTAATTTATAATACTGTGTATTTACAAATCTCCTTGTGGAAATGTAGAGGAATTTATTAAGCAGTTTGAACTAATACTGAAATCTGTTTACAAGCCTGAACTTTAATTAATAATATGTGAAGACTTTAATGTAAATTTTTTAGAGAATTCAAGTAAACCTCTTTAGCTTATTTCAGACGTACAACCTGTTTTGGGTTGTCGAATTTCCAACTAGGATTACAACTGATACCAGTACTGCTATTGATAGTATATTTTTGGATTACAGCAGATTAAATAATTTGCAGGTGTACTCAGTAATCAATGGGCTTTCAGATCATGATGCTCAGTATTTGACTGTTAGTAATGTTGTGAACCGCCAATGGAATAAGAGTGGATTAGTTGAAAGAAGAGTTATATCTGAGTCTGGCATCATAACTTTTAGTGAGATGTTGAGTAGGCAAACCTGGGAAAGTGTTTTAAGTAATCTTGATGTTAACAAAAGTTTTAATCTATTTTATAATATCTTTTTAATGATTTTTAAATATGTTTTCCAGCGAAATTTGTCAAAAGTAATGTGTACTCTAACCAGTCGATCACTAAAGGAATTAAAATTTCATGTAAGCAAAAGAAGTATTTGTATTTGATGATTAGATCTGCTAATTACCCAGGCTTAAAGGAGTATTATACTCGATATTGTACGTTGCTGAGAAAAGTTGTCAGAAGAGCTACAGCTATATATTATGAGGGAATAATAATGGCTGCATCTGATAAATCCAAGGAATCCTGGAAAATCATAAAGAGAGAAAATGGTAGAGAGTCAAAAATAAAAACATTCATATTCGGAATTGAGAGAAGGTAATGTAATAATCGATAGCAGGAATGACGCTAAGGCATTTAATTCATATTTTTTTAGTTCAGGTAACAAATTAGTTGGTCAGAGTTCTAATAATGTATGTTTTTACCACTTCCATGTGAGTACTCTACAGATAAGATTTCTGAAATTGTAAATATTCCAGTTACTTAAGCAGAAGTATTAAGCACGATAAATTCATTAAAAAATAAATCTTCTTGTGGATATGATGGGCTTCAAATAAAATTATGTGAACAGATAGCAAAACCACTTACTTATATTTATAATCTTTCTGTAAGTTTGGGCATATGTCCTGACCAATTAAAATATGCAAATATACCATGTTTTAAGAAAGGTGATGTTACTGAAATTGCCAAGTATAGACCGATATCTTTATTGACAAATCTCTCTAAATTATTTGAAATATTAGTGTTTAGCAGGCTTAAACAGTATTTTATAAGAAATTATATCCTGGCTCCTGAGCAGTATAGCTTTCATAAGGATGTTTCTACACAAACCACAATCTTTAATCTAACTGATACTGTTCTTAAAGCATGGAACAATAAGGAGTTTGTGGTAGGTTTTTTTTGTGATCTGACAAAGGCCTTTGATTGTGTCAGTCATGATATAGAGTCAAAGGGCCTATTTTGAAATGATTGGAGACTTATTTAAAAAATAGAATGCAAAGAGTTGTGCTGCATACTTGTAATTCGACTACTACAATCTCTGAATGGAAATCTGTAAGGTTTGGTGTTCCCCAGGGATCTGTCCTGGGACCAGTGTTGTTTAATGTTTATATTAATGATTTCCCAGGTACTCTTAAGGATACAGCACGTACTATTCTGTACGCAGATGACACAACAATTTTAATTACCTCAAATGACCTAAACTCTTTGAATATTAAATTAAATAGAGTTATGACTAGGGTTTCAAGATGGTTTCAAAATAACAATCTGGTACTTAATTTGAGTAAAACTCACCTGATTAAATTTGTGACTCCTAAGTCTCCAGAGTGTACATTATAGGTAACACATAATAATTTTAGACTTAAAGATGTTGATAATGTTATTTTTTAGGTATGTATTTAGATTGTCAACTTAATTGGAAAAAACAATCTGAAAAATTGTTAAAGAAACTGAATACAGCGTGTTTTATGCTCAGGAAGTTACAATCCCTTGTCAGTGAACAAGCTCTTCGAATGGTCTATTTTTCTTATTATCAGTCTCAGCTTGAATACAGTATTATATTCTGGGGTTCTTCTCCAGTTATGAAAAGTTTATTTGTTGCCCAAAAAAGAGCGATTAGGGTTATGCTGAGATTCAGTCCTGGAAACTCGTGTAGAGAAGGTTTTAAGAGGTTGGGTATTTTGACAGTTCCTAGCCTATATATCCTATATTAATGTTTGTTGTTAGAAATGGCAATTTTTTCAAACCAACGGTAATATCCATCATATAAACACTAGAGAGTTTGGAAAACTACATGTGCCATGAGTGAGATTATCTTCAATCCAGAGAGGCATGTTATATTCATCCATTATAGTTTATAATTCTTCCTCAGAATACACAAAGGATGAGTGATAATGTGAAGATTTTTAAACGCACACTGAAAAGTTTCCTCACAACAAATTCTTTTTATTCAATAGATGAATATATTTCTGCTAAGCATGTATAACATTTAATAACTATATTCCTTGTAATTTTGTTTATGAATGACAATGTAAATTATGGTTATTTGGTGCTTTTGGTTGTGTATGATTGTTTGCTGTTGACAAGATTGTACTTCTGCAATCAAGTCTTATTTTGACAAGTTCAGTATCCGGTCCAGTTCGGACAACGGATCAGTGAATGCTCTGGGATAACTTTTTGTAGTCCTTTCTGTCCACTGTGTTAGCCTGGATAATGTTGTATAATCCTTTCTCTCCATTTTCTAGTCTCAACTGTTTTGTGTAATCCTTTTTCTTCACTCGATTAGCCTGGGTAGTTTTGTGTAATTCTTTTTCTGCACTCTGTTAGTGTAGATAGTTTTGTGATCTTCCCTCTCAACCGCATTATCCTGGATAACTTTATGTCATCCCTTTTTCCATTCCATTAGCATAAATTATTTTGTATAATCATTCCTCTGAACTCTGTTATCATGGATAATTTAGGATAATATTTGCTTTCCACTCTGTTAGCTTCAGTAATTCTATGCACTACTTTCCACTCCTAGAACTAGACAACTTTGTGTATTCCTTTCTCTCCCCTCTGTTAGCATGAATAATTTTGTGTAACGTTTCCTTTTGACTCCATTAGCCTGGTTAGCTTAGGAAAATTCTTTCTACTTGCTCCATTACACTGGATGGTGAAGAGCAACTGATCTTGAATTTCAGTAATGATTGAGGGCTGAAGATCAAATGTTTTGCAAATTTGTTGAAGGATCTGTACAGTAATAGAAAATGAATGAGTAGGAAATTCATAAACAATCATAATTCACAGTCTCTTTGAACATACAACATGGCCAAGAAATAAATCACGTTTAGAATACTGGCAGTGACCACTTTAATTGCAACAGTTTCATACCGTGGTGTGTTTATTTAAATTGTTGCAACATGGAACAGTGCCAAAACTATCATCACCATTCATTTTGTCATTGGCAACATTGTCATATACTTCCTGATAATTGTTTAGTGAGGATACATATTGCACTCTGCTCTCAGCAAATGATCTGGCAAGCACTCAATGCCTAGATGCTGAGACATTTGCCAAGAGAATAATGCATTGATTTGGGTTACTTTGTAGGAAGTTTGAGGGGTATGAATTAACTTGATGTGATAGGCTGGCAGTAGTAGTTCCAAGACAGTCATCATGGCAACACGACAAGTGGCCAGTGCCCCGGAGATTGCCACAGGCCTCCGTGCAGTACACAACATTAATGTGTTGGTTCGATCAGTCACAGAAGCCGACTATGTTATCAGCTGGCAACTTGGTGTACTTCGAGTTATGATGTCAGGTGAGAAGCTTTGCGACCTGAGTGATATATGGATCTCATTATTTATTTTTAAATCTTGTGTCAGATGTTTGTTGGATAGTTTATTTGATATAGGGACAAGGCTACAAGCTGCATAACTGGAAAATCGATATTTGTTTCCTGGTGGGGGCAGTATTTTTACCTTTTCGTTTTGTGCCAGACTCAACAGTTTTAAGAAAGAAGGAACACTTTTAAATGAATTATGCAAAAAACTGTTTTTAACTTTTAAACCCTGGATTTTAAATAACTTTGTATTACAAGCTGTTAGGAGTTTTTCTAAAGGTGCATTTAAATTTTACTCAAGTTACAGGAAAGACATAAATAGTTGATAAGTAGGAATGATAAGGTAATAAAGGTAAAGCTGTCCCTGTAACAGGCCATGGAGGTCCATAGCGTTGTGAAATGTCGAGGCTGCCACATTTTCTAGACATTCAGCTCACAGATGAGAGTGAGGTTGTTAGCCTTACATGCTGGCGCCCTTTACCCCAAGAGGATTCCTGGTACTCATTTCTTTTGTAGGCTGAGTTGACCCCAAGACCATAGTGCAGCTGGGAGGATTAGGTCATTTGAAAAATTCAATGACCTCATTGGAATTTGAACCCACGACCTTGTAGCTTGTAGCATAGTGCCTCAACCAGCTACACTACAGCTTACCCCAAATAGGAGTATTCATGAAATAAACTATATTTTCTTCTAAATAAAGTATAGGAGTTTAAGTTCTGTTAACAAAGTTAATTTTCTAATCAGAATGATAAAGATTACAGTATGTATATTACTTAATTTTTAGTCCTATACTTCTACCAGAGATTTGCATTTGTTATATTTTTTACACCTCTGCCTTATACATCTCAAAAAGGTACCTTAACACTTTGCGGACTGGTGATTTAAATATTTAAATCACCCTGGGGACCATCACATTTAAATATACTACCCTAACTTGTGCACTGTTCACTTTAAAAATTAATATAAAATATCCTNACTGTAGCCCAGGCCTTTGCCACATTCGTCAGAAATGCTTTGTATTTCAATTTTGAATCAGGGTTTAGATTTTTTGCTGTCCCCACAATGTTGCTATGCGCAGTGTTTTTACCCGCATTATCGTCGGAGCTACTGTCACTTTTACTGTCTGTGGCCACAATTCTTTGTTGCCCCCCATCACTGTCGCTGTCTGAATGACAATTAATCCATTACTACGTGTCTCACAAGGCAGGTCAGCTAGGTCATCGGAGGAGAATTTGTCCTTGATCCATTCTCCCCACTAGCTACTGGCTGATACACACAGCTTGAAGAAGGCAAAGCATTTTCCTTTATAGTCGGTTAAGTAAACAGCGAGGTCAGATTACTGACTGCTAACTAAACATTCCAGAGTCTTATCATGCATCTGCAGGCAGTTGTGTGCAATGTAGGTGGCGCCAGAGCGATGTATAGTGTGTTGCAACTTACCATGTTCTAAAAGCCTGTTAACACGCGAACGGTCCGCCATGTTTAAAAGCGAAAAACCTTTTAAAGGGTGCGCGGTCCGCAAGGTGTTAAGACATTAGATACATTAGTAGTGTCAGTGTTTCTGCTAAGCACATACAATTTTCTTGTACGTGCACATGATGTTTTGATTCCAGTTGTTAACCAGGTTTTATTTTTTGTTTAGAGAAATGTTTTTATAAGGAAAACTGTGGTTAAATATTATTAAATAGGTATTAAGAAAATTCTTAAACATTAGATTCACATCATCCTCTATAGTAAATACGTCAGCCCAAGTTTCACAATTAAGATTTAGCTTGAATTCTAATTTAGTATATTTATTTATGTCTCTTGTACTAACAGAATAATTAGGTGAATTCAGGAATTTAAGATTATTCAGTGTAAGAATTTGAGCATCATGGTCTGATAATCCATTTGACAGTGAATTTATTAAATAAATTTCATTGCATGCTTCTGATGTTTGGTGCATACAGAAAGTGTAACAGTCATTGTAACTCCACATTCACATTTATGTAGGTAGTTCATGCATCTGATTTCTTGCAAAATAAGCAGGGCAACCAACATGACAGGCTTTAATATAAATCAGTGCGGAAACTTCTTGACTCACCTATGTATATATTTTTGTTACAGACTTTCTACGAGCTTGTCCCAACAAGTCAGGACTTGCCGAGGCAGTGAGATTGCTGCAGTCTGAGTTTGTGCAACCTGTTCTGGTGGCAGAGAATGACAAACATGTTCCAGTGTCTACATACAGAGCAGTCTGGACCAAAGTGGCTACCACACAGTTGGCTTATCTTCACCAGGCTGGAGTTTCTGTCCTCTATTCTCATGATAAAGGTAGAAAACTCTGATGCAGAGTACTTATTTATGCATTTTGATAAATTATGATAGGTCCAAAAATATGTGGGGCCAGAGTACTATCTTCAGTAATAAAGTATTAAAGTACAGCCAACATGCTGTTGAATATCAGCATATTTTTGCATTAGTTGAGCCCTTGATATGTGTAATACAGCCTTGTAAGCACAACACATTGTAGATTTTTGGTTAGAGGATCACATAGCCCTTGTATATGTATATATTTATGACATGTTTCGCCCGCATGGGACCAGCATCAGGTATATATGATGAGTCAGATAATTTGCTACACTGTATTCATTATTTCGTGGCATGCAAGTTAATTAATTTTAAAATTTAATATTTTAAAAAAATTGTAACTTTAAAATGGAATTCTAAAATCAAATTGACGCGCATATGTTGGCAAGATTTTAAACAAAACTGACAGGCTGGTGTTTTAGATTTTGATTGTGTGCAGTGTGACAGCTATGTAGTGAAAAAGACACCTGATGATGGTCAGTTACAGCCGAAACATGTAGTGTAGAGGAAGAAAAGACAAAGAACTACAACCAAATAAATTGTTGCATTCACGGCATTTGTATTATTACATATAGAAGGGGAATTCGCTAAAGAATGTTCCAAATGTCTTAAATTTGACTTCCGTGACTAATCGGGTGTTGAAAAGTTGTCCCTTTCCTCGACTATTGAAACAGTTCACAGCTCCTTTATAAAAGAAATTGTTAACAGTTGGAGAGTTATGACCAGTCAGAGGGCCATCTCTCTAAGTTTTTGGACAGATTTCCCTTTTATTAGAGCATAGGACTCTTTGTAAAAGTAAAGTCCGGGGATTGTGACCCATCATAAACTTTACATTCTCGGAATTGCGGAAGCAAACTTTCAAGCTGTTGCTTCTTTAGAAATTTCTAGCTCGTCCCAAAAGACCTTCCTGTTTCTGTCTCAACTAGGCTTCTCTCTCTCTCTTTTCTTTGTTGCCCCACCCCCCAAATTACATAGCACGCCGGGGTAGGCAGGAGGCCTGACGTCCCTTTGTGCAAATTGGATTCAGGTCCCCCTGGTTTGAGTGAGGTGTGGGGCATTACATCTGCTTGCATGTAGTTAGAAGCATCGACTTAAGTAAATAATAACAGTGTGGCCCTTTGCATTGTACGGTTACAATGCCCTTACGTGTTTTCGGTCCTTAGAGACCATCATCAGAGGGACACCGATACAGTTTGGAAACCACTATTACAATAGGTGTTCTGAGTGTTAAAATATATACTATATATACAATGCTGACAATACACAAATGGATACAAAATCCAAAGTTTTCACAACTACAGCAGCTCTCTTGATATATTATTTTTTAGTTAAGTTAGAATTTATAAACCAAATAGGTTCGTGTCCTCTCTCTTATTACCTCTCCTGACAGGAGCCAAACTTGTGCCGCCTGTCTTTCTTGCGAAGAAGGTTCTGCAAATATATTGTAACATGTTTTGCCACTGAAGACGCCATTCAGATTGTTAACCTACAAGTCTTGGCTACAATTAATTGTAACACTGGTATGGGTTTACACAATTTACAACCCTACACAATAATCTGTTCACTCTATATTCAGTAGTCTACACGTATTCACAGTACGGGAGCTGTAAAAGTGTCACTGTATCACATGCTCCCAATTACTTCTCGTGTGAACCAAGCATCTGCTGCTCACACTATCACTTCTAATCACACGTTCCAATATTCTTCTTTCCGCTACAACTGAACTCAGTGACTGTTCCAATTCAACTGTCTCTGGTGACGGCTGCATTTCAACTGTCTTCGGCGGCTGCTGATCACTCACTCACTAACTCACTCACTTCTAACTGCTCACTGCGGACTGACTGCTGACTCCCTGGCTAACTCGTAACTAACTGTTGAATAGTGTTCGCTGCTCCTTATTTAGCCCTGTTACGGACAACACAGAAAACAGTTACGTAATAGGCACCACTGTTGAGTAACGTCGTGTTTACCGACTGCCTAGGAACAGTCGTTGCACGGACTACCCGCCGTGTTTACAAAGGCATTGCTGGGCGGCGCTGCCGGGAGTTCTTTACGGCTACGTAGCAACTGCGTCGTTCCATGTTACGTCACCGCGGGGAAAGGTGTGTCTACCGAGCGTTGCACACTGATGGACTGAGTGGGGATATGTGACGTCACTCGCGAGATCACAAGAGTTCACACGACCCCTACCTCCCGCTATGCCATCCACGTCACAATATTATGGGTATTGTATTATTTCAGGAACCCTATTATGTTATTTTTAAGGAGTTTTGATATGGCACACTGTGTTGTTTTTACTGTTCTAGGGTGTGTTGTGCCGCGTATTTATACGTGTTAGTGTGATGTTAGTGTGGGCACGTACTGATGTTGTATTATGTGGTCAAACATGTTATGTTGATTATTACTTTCCTTTGTGTGTTTTTGTTCTTCTATCAATTTGTTGAGCTTATTAAAGTGATATATATGGAAGTTTTCTTTTATATTCAAGATGCTTTTGGGGGGGGGGGCTTTCTCAATCATTTCCATGATTACTGTCATCGGTCTGTACTGGTGGCATTTGTTTAGTATATGTTGGGCAAATGCCGATTCGTCTTTGTTTAGTCTTATGTTTCTTATTTGTTCCTTGTACCTTGTTAGATTTCTACAAGTTTGGCCACAGTATACTTTATGGCAGGTGTGGCAGATTATTTTGTATATACCACTTAGTTCATGGGGGTTTGTTTCTCATTTTTCATATATTAGTTTACCTATTGTGTGAGTTGTTTTGAAAGCTATCTTTATGTTGGTGTTTTTTAATAGTTTTGTGATTTTTCATATGTAACTTCTCGTAGTCTGTGTATCCAATTTTTGTATGCTGCTAATTTTTGTTCTTTAGGGTGGCATGAGTTATTTTTATTGTTATGTTTGTCATTGTGGGCTTTCTGTATATTTCCATTTCTATTTGTCCATGCTTGTTAAATAGGTTTAAGTCTAAGTAGGCTATTTGGTTTTTTACTTCCTCATTTATTGTGAGTTACAAGTTTTTATGTTGTCCATTGAAGTGTTCGAGGAGGCATTGGGGGTTTATTTTTGTTTGATTATATATTATGAAAATGTCATCTACGTATCTATTATAGTATGCCACCTCAAACACTTGAATAACATAATACGGTTGCTGAAATAATACAATACCCATAATATATTTGCAGAACCTTCTTCTCAAGAAAGACAGGTGGCACAAGTTCGGCCCCTGTCAGGAGAGGTGATAAGAGAGAAGACACAAACCTATTTGGTTTATAAATTCTAACTTAACTAACAAAATTTAAAAAAAAAATAATATATCAAGACAGCCGCTGTAGTTGTGAAAACTCTGGATTTTGTATCCATTTGTGTATTATCAGCATTGTATGTACATATATGTATATATATGAGGGGCAGTCAAATGAAAACGTGTTAGAAGCCAAAACATATTAAAGAACGTTTCTTACCTCAAAAGTAATCTCCAAATTGTTAATACATTTATCCCACTGGGAGATAAGACGGTCAATCTCATCCTTGAAAAAACTTGTGGGCTGCCTACAGAACCACATCTTTACCCAGCCACACAAGTCTTCATCTGATGCAAACCAATGTCCACAAATGTCTCTCTTCAGGTCTCCAAAAATGTGAAAATCACATAGGGAAAGATCTGGGCTGTAGGGGGATGTTGAAGCACTTCCCAAACAAATCTCTGTAGCGTATTCCTCACAGAGTTTGCAGTGTGGGGGCGCACATTATCATGAAGAAGGGTAATGCAGTTCAATAGCATTCCAGGGCATTTTGACTTTATGGCACGTCTCAGTTTCTGCAAAGTGTCTTCATAGTGCTGTGCACTGATTGTGGCCCCATGATCGAGAAATTCGACAAGCACATGGCCCTTGCAGTAGAAGAAGAATGTCATCATCACTTTACCGGAACTTGTGTGTACAGCTTTGGATTTCTTTGGTGGGGTAGAATTCATGTGTTTCCACTGTTGGCTCTGCCATTTGCTCTCGGGTTCAAAATGGTGGCACGAAGTTTCATCCCCAGTGGCAGTATGGGACAGAAAAGCCTACTCTTCCTCATGGTATCGTTGCAAGTGACCCAGTGATGCAGCCCTTCTCTGAGTCTTTGTTCCTTTGTGAGTCGATGTGGAACGCACTGTGCACAGATTTTGCGGTACAGCAAGTGTTTTGTCACAATTGTGTGTACAGAACCATGACTTATTCCCATCAAAAGACTAATTTCTTCCACAGTGATCCATCGGTTTGCCCAAATATGACCATCCAGTACAGCAATAACATCAGGAGTGATGACATGATTAGCCTATCCTGGGCGAGCATCATCTTGCAGTGACACATGTCTCTCTCAGAATCTCTTATGCCATGCCAGCACATGTGAACATGACATGCTGTGTTTGCCGTAAACAACAGACATGCAACAGTGAATTTCTCGTCGTCCTACTCCTTCAGCAGTCAAAAAGTGCACTACATTTCACTGTTCTTCTTTACCTGCCTTCCTTACTGATTTTGGATGACTACACATAGCGCTAACCTTACTTGCAGCACAATATACAAACGACTAGTGTGCAAGGGCACGTTATCATCGTGCTTTCCCGAGTCCCCACCAGATGTTCATACCGTAAGCAAATTCCAGTGTTACCAACTTGCGCGCCGTGTGAGTTATGCGTGGTGACCCGTTTTCATTAGACTGCCCCTTATATTTTAACACTCAGAACAGCTATTGTAATAGTGGTTTCCAAACTGTATCGGTGTCCCTCTGATGATGATTTCTAAGGACTGAAACATGTAACGGCATGAAGAATTGAAATAAGAAAACTCTTCACCAGTCACACTAGACAGAACTGTTTAATCTTTTTATAGTCTGAAAGTTAATTTTTTTATTGCTAGTGGGGTGGGACTAAGTCCCTTGTACTGCAGCCACTTCTGGCCTGTTGTACCAGCCCCAGATGATAGGTGAAGGTGATTTTCGAGGTATTGACTTGCCTTCCCCTCACCCCAAAATTTTGACATGATGACGCTATTATCTGCTTACAGCGGACACTGCCCGTCTTCTGGCAATGCTGTCTGATTCAGAACATATGCAGAATCGAGCCATCATTCTGCTGCCTAAGGACATGGAAACTATGGAGAGTGTAAGTAAATCTGACTTAGTATTTTTCCGTTAAGCCATATGAATTTAATATTTTACTTTGTAAGCTTCATTTAATGCCTGCTTCTGTCTGGATACTTGTTTAGCCTACTGTTTTATCTTGAAGATAGAGGCAGTATCTTCTTCCAAATCATCAGTGAACTTGTGCCAAACTACGTGAAATTACATCATCTGAGTCTGTACTCTTAATATTGTTGACAGGATGTTAATCCATAAATTTTGGAATGTCAAAACCACATAAATATTGCAGAGATGTCCATTACTAGGCAACATAATGGTAAACACACACCTCTGGAAACAAATGTGCAGCAGTCAGGAGAAAGAGAAAGAGGAGGAAAAGTAAGCTAGAAAGAAAGAGTAGGCAAACGGCCAGTTATAATCATTTGTGACTAGTTGGAGGCAGTGCCTAATAAATCCATTTCCTACCATGATCCATGGCAGTCATTTCACACCACAGCATTTGTGCATTGATTGGTTCAGTTCCACATTTTTAAGGCAGTTCATAATAATTTCCAGGAGATTCAGTTTTTTATGTTTTCATGGAAACTGCAGTATAGCCTCGACATCACAGCGCTTCATAAAATTTGTAAAAATGTTTGTTCTAACAAATACTCATAATAAACAAAAATTGTTAACATTCATAACTAGATGTCTGCCCCCAAATTAGAATTACATATAATACAGTATGATGCTGGGTTGAAGAAGCACAGATATGGAAATATTTTTTCTTCTGCTTCGTTATTATTACAGAGTTATGAAAACAGTGAAGAATAATTCAACATTTTTGTCATCATTAGTATTGTCTGAAGTGATAGATTAAAGATTTTCTTGAATTTACATAACCTCTTCATACGCACAGCTGAGAGCTAATCATGAACAGTACTTTATGAGCAAGTGTGTCGCGCACTGTTTGTTGCATGGCTGCAACGCTCATCCACATTCTACTCATAATTTGTTATGTGTCCAAACGTTCCTGCTTGTGCATGTGTGAAAATTGCAATGAGTTGGAACTTGAGAAGATGTCATAGTTAAAGGCACCAGTACTTAAGTACAGCTAATTTATAGGTACTAAATATGACTGGAATACAAATTTCTGACATGTAGATAAGGGATGGTTTTGAATCAGCCATTTTACTTAATTGTAAAACATGTTATAGTATTGTCATGTAAACTGTACACAAAGCAGTAACAAAGTTTCTAACCTGATTCAATGTACATGTTTAAATTCCACACTTATAATAAAAATACAGTAAAACTTGGTTATAGCAACTTCGGTTTCTGTGACACCTTGTCTATTGCGTCAAATATTCAATGATACGAACTAATTCCTCATAAAGCAACTGTTTTTATACCTTGCTTAGTACGACATGCACAAATGCATCAACCTCGTATGTAACGTCATTTNTGTAAAACATGTTATAGTATTGTCATGTAAACTGTACACAAAGCAGTAACAAAGTTTCTAACCTGATTCAATGTACATGTTTAAATTCCACACTTATAATAAAAATAATTCTCTTTGTAGCATACCTGGACAGGACCATATCATCTGTAGTTCCCATGCCTATGATGTTACAATGGTAGCACAGTTCTCATATAATGACATTTGTTACACAATCATGAACTCAGATGGCAAAATTAATTCTATTAACATACACTCACAGAAAATAGAAGTGTTACTTTGCTTGGATTTAATATNGGTAGATTTTTACGTGACTAACATAAGGCTACTGTGGAAGTGCCCATTTCGGTTACAACGACATTCGTTTATAACGACACTATTTTTAGGTCCCTTTGATGACGTTATAACCAAGTTCTACTGTAATTCTCTTTGTATCATACCTGGACAGGACCATACCATCTGTAGTTCCCATGCCTATGATGTTACAATGGTAGCACAGTTCTCATATAATGACATTTGTTACACAATCACGAACTCAGTTGGCAAAATTAATTTTATTAAGTCGCTGCTGATGATGCTGCTTCCGGCATCAGTTTTTGGTTTTTGGTATCTCTCTTCATCTGATGCCTACCCTTTGTCCTGTCCAGCAAGGGAGGCCCTGCCAGTAGCTACGCTACCGCTGGTATAGCTCTCAGTGTCCTTGGCATACTCAAACCCCCTCACCATGACGAGGGGGTTGGTATGTATACTGCTTATAATGTTTTCTTCCATCAGCTGCTCACATATGGGCAGTGTCTTGTCAACATCTGTGTAGTTCTGAAAGGTGCATGGAGGGTGAAGTTGAGTCATGGCTTGTCCCCCCCTTTCAGCTCATTTAGTTGCAGGTTGTCAGGATCTGTTGCTTGTTCCAGCTGTATGTCACTTGTTTCACAATCTTGCTAAAAGAACCCTGCATGCTTAAAGCAAGCAGTGATGTGCTGATGTGGGACTTTACCCCAGCATGCAGTGATGGCTCTGATTGCATCCAGTACATTCAATTTTGGTTGTGTGGTGTTATCCACTGCCCGTCATCTTCTAATCACTTTTCTGAGCATCCCCCTGGAATTATCATTTGTACAGGCCTGAACCCATTTAATTTTATTTGCAAACACTTTCTGCAGATCTACTTGTGAGATGTGTAATACAGGTATGTACACAGTTATTGCAGTCTTTAAATCATTGAGCATGTGTGGCCAATCACGATACACTGCAGATTTTGCTGGTCTGGTGGAGAAAGATCTGGCGAGTGAGGGAGTCATAAGTTTGTAGAGATAACACATTCTCCAATAATCTCATTCAGAAGTTTCATTGAGTCATTAGCTGTATACGCAGTAGTACCATCTTGTAGAAATCACAAGTTGGTGATTTCATCTTCCTCAAATAGGCCGATGAAATCGTAGAGCATTGAACAGTACTGTTCACTGTTTCTTCAAGAGTTTCAATTGTTTTTGGACTGCTTTATATGCTATTGCAATTCCAATACCTTCCTCTTATGCCATCTTGCGCATTGATTTTGATGGACTCCACAGCATAGAGTCAGAAACATCCAACAACTTCGCCTCTTTAGTTTAGATGGTCTCCCACTTCGTTTGGAATCTAACAGCCTGTTTCATGAAATTTCTCAGTAAATCTATGAACTGCATTGTAATGAGGTACAGGTGTTCATGGGAATTTTGCAGCAAATTTCTCCTGCACTAAATCAGTGTATCTATTGCCTTCTCAGAAGACGTGTTCAACAACTAAACACGTTCCTCAATTGAAAGAACCCTAATGAGTAAAACCTGAATTAAACACTTCACTGGTATTGCACCTCAACCACTGTTCAACCACTGAATACAGTGAAATGTCACACAACAACAGCACACCTCAACGGCAACTTCGATACTGACAGCCAACAGCGTTACAACCGCACTGCAATGTAGCATAGCTTAAGGGCACAGCGACCTAATAAGCGCACTATATTACATTACATTTATTGGTACCATCAGCATTCAAGCACAGTAGCGCACATGGTGAGCTGTGCCTGTTCTGTCAGGAAGCAGAACCTTATTTATTTCTATGATTTGGTTCATCCTGGTCCGTCCCACTAGCAGTATTATAAAAGGTTATCAGCTCCATCCAGTGTGATTGATAAGTGTTTTTTCTTTCCTTTTTAATCCTCCATCCTTGACATGTTACAGTCTGAGAGACCATCATCAGAAGAATACATCAATACATATGGTAACTACTATTAGAATGTGATTGGTCAATATCAATACATACATACAATATCATTACAATGTCATGAATATAAAATCTGATCCTTTAACATCTGAGTCTGATTCCTCTCCTGACCCAAGATGGCATTTATTTCTACCATAACAAGTAAGGTGTTAAGTTGCAGGTCACAGCATGGTTGCAGCCATCTTGTCAACACAAAATGGGCCTGAAGTTGCTGAAAAGAATGATACTATGTAACATAAGAAGTAAACTCTAATTGTCAACATATAAACAAGAACACGAGCTGTCCCCTGTCTCCTTAACTGTAGGAATTGGGCTAGATGGGTCAATTTTATTTGGCTCAGGCTCCATCTGTTCAGATAGTCATGAGTCACCATGGGTGTAATTTTGTTAGTAGCATTTTAAGAATGCCTTCCTTAGTGTATCCAATTTTGTTAACACCGACATGGTAATTTGCATTAGTTATGAAGTGTTTTTTTTTTACCTTTATGACAGCAAAACATTACTTATGACTTAAGCTGATGTTCACCACATAACTTATTTAAGGTTTCTTATCTCAGCACATCCGTTTCTACCAGAACCTGCCTGGTGTCAACATCGCACTCGCTATGCGACTTTGTCGCATTTTCTCCTGTATCATGGATTTCTTGGCCAGGTGAGAAGCTTTGTGGTGACTGAGGTGACACTGAATATTACTGTTAGCAACATAGTTTTTTTTTTTAATTCTGATATTAGATGAATATCTGATGAATGAATGAATTAGATTTTACACAAAACCCATGGTATTTTTGCATTTCAGAGTATTGAAAGGTAAAGTTGCCCCTATGCTTTACTAATTAAGCACTAGGCATATGGGGGAGTGGATGTATAGATCCTCATTTTCTTGACCTCAGCACTAGCTGGAGGTGAGTGGTCGGCTTCATGCCCCAGCCACTTTACGCCTGGGGAAAGAGCCCCCAGTACCCATTAGACAGGAGGTTGGGTGGACCCCATAGCCTGTCTGGGCGACATGGAGAAGAGAAAATTCTTGACCCTACTGGGATTCGAACTCCAACCCCTCAGTCATCTAGCCCATAGCCAGTCACTATACCAACTATGCTATCTCAGCTCCTTGCACTTAAGAATATTTGTAGATTAAATTAAAAATTAACAGTGAATAATGAACATTAAATGCTTGATTGATTCCAGCTGTTAGGTGTGACATTTTCTTTAGGTCATTTAAGTGATCTTAGCTTGTATGGATAGAAAGAAGCCTTGCTTTGAGACACACGTTACTTGCTATGATGTTTCTATCAGCATCATTTACAGTATGTAGTTCTAGTCCCTGTCTCCGGCCTTAAGAAAAAGAATAATGGATAATGTACAAGAGTAAAAAATTATAGTAATGTACAGTTGTCACAGGCTTTTAGATCTTACTCGCAATGGGAATGTGGGTGTGTCGTCAGTGATGGAGACTCTCACATCATTAGGAATTTGATTAGATTCTGTTTTCAGATAGGTTTATTTCTGATATTTGTATGCTGGTGGAAAATTCAAACATGCTTACACACTACTTTTCATCCATAAGGTTGCCTACTCCATATGCCCTAGTTTGTAGGGTAGATGGACTTTGGAATCAAAATTTTGATGGAATATAAGTACTTAAGTTTCTTCTAGAACTGCTTATTCTCATTATCAAAATGAAATTTATTTTCCTTTTCTTTATATATAAGGTTCCAAGTATTTTCAGTGTCAATACAGGAAGCCACATACATGTATCTGTAGATGGCCATGACATAGCTCAGGTGGTTGTTGCTGGCTTCCCATTGCTGTATCCTAGATGCAATCCCAGGTCAGATCATATGGGATTTGTGATGGACAAAGTGGCATCACCTTGGAGTTATCCATCATTCATTCACACACAGACTCATTTGCTCCACAACACTCTGCCACCAGCTGTTCATTCCTCAGTCAGTCCACTTATTTACTCCTGAGGCAGTCACTCCTGTCATTCTGTGATTCTGGTCAGCCAGTCGTTCTCTTCTTGTTTATTCATTGTTAAGATATTCATTTAATCGCTTCTCAGTCATTCAGTGGCTTCAGTCAGCAAGTCATTCAGTGTCAGTTTGTAATTCACTCATTGGTCATCTATTCACTCCAAAGTAATTAATTTATTTGCTTAGTCATTTGGTACTTCATTCACTCCTTAATCATTCAGTTATTCACCACTCAATCAGTTTCTCACTCCGCAGGCAGTGATGTGTGGAATCTTTGAGTTATTCATTCTGCAGCTATTCAGTTATCAGTCAATGCAGAATGCAGTAGTCAAAAGTGAAGAATAACAGAATGGAGATGGTGTCTTAAACTGTAGGACAAATCTATAAACTATTCTATAATAAATAATTATCCTTGTTTTGTGTTGAATGAATAAAACTAAATGCCATTCGTTAGTTAATGGAGCTAATGCATATACATATTTTCCATAGTTTTTTTTTATCTTCCTGTGTTGCAGTTGCACCAATGTGCAGAAGATTCAAGAAGTACTGGGGCTGAATTTTGAGAAGGCTGTTCGAATTCAGCTAGTGTTGTGTCGCATCATGAAGCCATGTGTTACTGAATTTTGAAGAAGGTGCAGTTCTGCAGCCTGGTCCATTATTACATTTAATTGATCAGTTAAACATTCTAATACAGTGCTTCAGAAATCGGAAAATTTTTAAATCTGATGAGAGTAAATAATTTCAAAAGCCTGAGTCTGTTCGTTCTTCCATCATTTATGGAAAGGTAGCCTATGTATGAATTGAACAACTTGAATATTATTTTGTTTAAATTTTATTACAATTTCTATTGAATTGAATTGAATTTATTTGCATTCCATAGATCCTAAGTAGGTTAATACTTCTGGATATAGAACAAGTCAAAATAATACCTACTGGTACAAGTAATTTTATCTTAAACTAATATAGCTTAATTCTACATTATTCTCTATTTACATTGAGGTATTCATCTACAGAGTAGAAGGAATGAGCATGCAGATATTTCTTTAGCTCTGATTTAAAATGTTTAGTATCATTACTCAAGTTTTTGATACTTTGTGGGAGAATGTTATACACGTTTATGCCAGAAAAGTAGACTCCTTTTTGATATAGTGATAAGTTTGATGAAGGTAGATGGAAGTTATATTTTTGTCTAGTATTCATGTTATGGATATTGGAATTTAATTCAAATTTATTTTTGTTGTACACAACAAATAAGAGAAGTGATTATTATTATTTATTATTATTGGAGGGGGTGGGTTCCCCATGCACCGCGAACAGTGGTCTATTGTACATCCCCCTGTGATATTCTACCAGTCTGTATACTCTACCGATACTGGTGCGTACATCAGTCCCGACTCAGCCAGCGAGTTCAGCCTCTACTGGCTCAGCAGTATCTAGATGCTTCCCCATCTACCAGAGGCGTTAGAGACTATTGTTGGGCGGGAACTGTCCTTAATAATTTGGCTCAGAGGCCTCCTTGAGGCATGAGGTTCTTTTACGTGCCATAAAGCTACAACATGGGACCCATGGCTTAAAGTCCCTCCCGGAGGATTTGTTCCCTGAATTTTTCCTCCCTTAAAAATTCCATGACCTTCGCCGGGTTTGAACCTGCGTACCTTGAGTCATGAGGTGGGAACGTTACCCCTAGACTACGGAGGCTGCTAAGAGAAGCGATAGTATATATTGTGATTGAAGAGGTAGAATTTGTAATTTCTTAAATAAATCTCTACATGAATCTCTACTTCTGTGTCCTGTGATGGTTCTAATTATATTCTTTTGTATCTTACAAATGTTTACACTATGTGAAGAGTTCCCCCAGAATATTAATCCATAGTTCATAATAGAATGAAAGTAGGCATGGTAAACCATCTTCATTGTTTCCTGTGGCATAAAGGGCTTAATCGATCTCATTGCATAGCAAGCTGCATTTAAATACAGGTGTAGTATAGTGGTGGCCATGACAGTTGAGTGTAGGAAGGAGAACAGATTAAATATGATTGTGCATTAAACAATTGCATCATGACCATCTTTGACCTATAGTTATGTTCCTTTTCTAAAATTTAGCCCTCCAGCAGTTCTGCATATAAAATACATTGCTTATTGGTGCTTTTTGATAGCCACCGTGTTTCATGAAGTTTCCAGGTTATGAACTCTTAAGCCAGCTAGAACCTAACACCAACACAGAATTTAAGGCTGCTTCTTCCTTATCATGGCACATTTCACAGGTTAGGCTACTTAACAGTTGCAATTTAAATAGGGTCACTTCAAGTGACAATGTCCTGTGTGTAGTCCAGTCATTTGTCGCAGCTGGTTTCTGTTCAGTTCCAGTAGTTCCATAATTCCTTCAGCAGAGGGTTCCTGAAGGAAACCCCATTTTCCCCCATGTTGTTGACTGTCATTGTAGTCTGTGTCATCCAGTCCATAATGGTCCACTTGCAACTCTCTTGAGATGCTACTGGTCTCTTCATGTCATATAAATACGTGTTTAGATCCTGTTTTTGCCAATTAATTGGCCCTGTCATTCTCATCATTTTCCTTATGTCCTGATGAAAAGTGGCTTTCTGAGAGATCTGTGTGCTTCTATCTTAAACCCTAAGAGTCAGATGGTATCACTTTTATCTCTCCAGGTTCTGTTTTTTAGTTGACAATGCTCCTGAGGTGATATTGTGTTGCCCAAGAATGAACACTTAACTGAATGTAAGGATAGTGTCAGGATAATGTTAAACAAATGAAATGTCCTCGTATCTCTCCTTCCCCATCAAATGATAACAAGGTATTAAAAAAACATTAATAACAAGAAAAATAATTACCAAATGAGAAAGAATATTGTATTTTAGCATCATATTGTATGCAAATAAGAAATGAGAAGCATGCTTGAAGCAGTGACAGAAATGGTGGAATATGTAACTTATATTTTGCAGCAATATAATATGGTCCATGGGCTGATTAAATAGAAAGACAGGTTTAGCAAAATGGGACTATAGAGGAGATAGTACAACATGAAGTACCAGAACAAATATACACTTCCAACTTGGGCTCTCCATGAACTATGGACAACTTGTGAAACTGGTTTCACATGACAAATTCATAACAAATAAATATTTAAGTTATTTCAAAGACTTGCCTAATGCGCAACATAAATAGGCATACAAGCTCAAGGTCTTTCATCATACCAGCTGTGTATCATAAGATATGCAAAGAAACAAAATTGGTATACTCTAGTGGAATCATCTTTGAACACAAGTATAAAATTGCCTAATCCCATGAAAGAAATATAACAACAAATACCTTTTCTTGTAAAGATTTATAGGGCTCCCTCTGTCACATTATTTTCACAGACGGTGCCCCAATTTATAAACACAGCATTGTCCAGCAAGATCCTAGACAGAATGTGAAACATATCCATCTCCCGAGCCTTCCTACAGCAAAGAGGGATAAAGTGTTTATCATTTCAAGATACAGTGATACACTCACACATATTAAAAATTTAAAACAACATAAATTCCTCAACAGAGTAAAACAAGTGTTTCAGTAGAAAGGATTTTAAGTCCTTTTTAAATAAATTAAAATGTTTCCTTTATTTGATCTTCTCTGGAACCTTATTGTACAAACTGATACCCATATTTATCACATTTTTCATGAAGAGGACTGTATATTGTTGTATTTGTAAACTTATTTTTTTTTTGCCATAGAATTTTTATCCTTTACAATAAAACATATAACTTCTAGTATGTATAAAGAAGACAGTGCTGATATATTATGGCCTTGAAATATTTGCCTACGTGATGTATGATTACTGACACCACTAATTATTCAGAAGGGCCTTCTTCTGAAGTTTAAAAATTTTAATACTGTCACTGTCGCCATCCCGTAATATAATGCCATACCTCAGACATGAGTGAAAATTTGAATAATAGATGTTTCTTATCATATAAGGGCTTATAAGATTATAAGGTTGGAGATCACATGAGCAACACGTCGCATGCACAGTGGGGGATAGGGGGAGAAAGGATAATGCATGATATAGGAGGAAACTCAGCCAGACTGAGTAACAGATAAGAGGAAGGTAAAATCTGATGCAGAAGTGGAGCCAGAAACAAGCAAACAGCTCACCAGCACCCACATCAGTTGCAACATGTTATTTTCAGCTTGTTTCATCAGGAAATGATTGCAAACCCAGACCAATATGGAGTTGATCTTATAATTGTCAGCTGCTCTTATTACAGCTTGGCTGTGAGTAGAGTGCAGACTATGAGATGTTTTGTGTGTGGGTCCACATTCCATGTTGAAAATTGATCCAATTCCAAAACACCTAAGGAAAATTCAACAGTCTTCACAGACTGAAGAAAAATGTACATCTTGATGAATTCTTCACTCTGGAAGGCTAGACTAGGATTCAGTCATTGTATTCCCTTGGAATCTGCTAAGTTCAGAATAAAATGTTTTGAACCTTTTGTTTGTGATGGATACCTGTCGAATATAGGGTGGGTCTCAGTTACATAACTGAAATATTAGTATCATGTTCCATGCTTATAGGCAAGCAGAAATGGTCACAACAGCTTCATAAGTGAGATATTGTAACAGGAAGCATGAGGAAAGGAAAGTAGACAAATAACATAGTTGTTGATAAATAATATATTAGGTATGAACAGGATGGCATCTGGCAACATAAGAAATACATTATGTATTGCAGTTGTCTTCTATTTATAAATTTACAGCAGAATTTTGATATGATCAAAGCAGAATATTATACAGATGTTCTGAGTCAAGAAGATACCATTTATATTGTGACATGTTGCGCAATGAAGGACCCCTACCTCCCCAGCGGCACGTGGCGGTAACATAGTGCTCGCGTAATAGGCGAGTCATCACCCAGCCACTCTCCCTGCGGTGACGTCACGAGCGGAGCCGAAGTTAGCCGAGCCCCCGCAACCTGGTAGCTATGCAACGCGAGTCGACAGCGGTGACGTAACAGGATGACGTGGCACTCATTACGCAACAGGCAAGCACTACGGCTATATAAGTGAGCTGCACAGCGGCTGCGAGTCAGTTGTAATGTGGCTACCGCAGAGTTAAGTAGTAGACGAGCGAGTGTGTTATCAACAGTCCTCAAGGCAGCAGCCTGCGAGCAGAGTTGGAATCTAGCCAGCGGCGTGTTACGAGTGAATGTGTGTAATTCAGGGAGACTTGTATAGCTCCCGCGTTATTAATACGTGAAGAATACTGAAGATAGTGTGAAGATATTTGGTTGTAGGGTTTGTAAAGTGTGGAAACCCGCAACATTGTGATAATTAATTGTAGCCGTGATTTGTAGGTTGTTAAATAAACCAATTAACAATCCGAACGGCGTCTTCAGTAACGAAACACGTTACAATATTAAAAGTGATGATATATTTATATCATCAGCATTTGCCACAAGGTAAGGGTAAAGAGCAGTATTGTGTTGAAATTTCAAATAGATTCGTGGCTTTGGAAAACTTGGAAACTGAGGTGGATGTTAATAAAGCTTGGGAAACTATTAGAGAGAATATAAACATGTCTGCCAAAGAGAGTTTAGGTTATTATGGACCAAAGAAGCATAAGCCATGGTTCGATGAGGGATGCTCAAAATTATTAGATCAAAGAAAGCAGGCCAAATTGCAATGGTTACAGGATACAAGCAAGTTAAATGGGGATTTAATTTAATTTATTCTTATATTCAAGTAGATCCAATTACAGGGCAAGAAACAAGTTGACACACCACTGGATATAGAATGCGTCAAAAATCAAAACAAATGTTCCAACCAATCACTGGAACAAGTCAAATAACATAATATAAAACATAGACAACACAGTCACTAAACATAATAAAATGTGACTACAACAAGACTTAAATAGTAGATGAAAACATATTAACCGTTTATCTTATAAAATTCATCCAGTTTATAGAAACAATGCATATGAATGGATATTATCAATAAACAACACAGTATCAAATAATGTATGTTACATCACTCACACATCAAAAGAAAAGCTATAAAAGTCATAGTTGGTATGTATGCAGATATAAAGTAGATGATTATTTATATATTTTTAGTTAGTCAAGGTTAATTTTAGATACTATTTATAACAACCAAGATCACACCTTGTGTTCCATTCATAATATTCATTTAAAGAATAAAATGAACCAGCAAGAAGAAACTCTTTTAGAGCCTGTTTGAATTTAGTAATATCATTTAATAGATTCCTGATGCCTTGTGGTAGATTATTGAATATCCTAATTCCTGAATAATATACACCCTTCTGCAATTTAGCTAATTTATTACTTGGAAAATGTAAGTCAAAACCTTGGCTGGTGTTAATGCTGTCTATAGCAGAATTAAATTTAAATATATCTAAATTCTTAACAACAAAAATTGATACAGAAAATATATATTGAGAATATAAGGGCAGAATATTTAACTGCCTGAACAATGGATGACAAAGAGTCCTTATTTCTTGCCTTCATAATAATTCTCACTATTCCTTTTTGGATTTTTAAAATTAAATTACTATGAGTTGAATTTTCCTTATTCCATATGACATAATGGAATGTACATATGCAGAATAAATCTGAACAATATAAGACGTGAAACCAGCAGGCATTTCAGGAACAAAAAGAGGGAATATCTGAAAGACAAAATTGATGAGCTTGCAATGAACAGTAAGAACAACATTAGAGACCTGTATAGAGGAGTAAATGACTTTAAGAGGGGTTACCAACCGAGAAGTAATTTAGTGAAGGATTAAAATGGTGATCTGCTTGCAGATTCCCACAACATTTTGAATAGGTGGAGGAACTACTCTCAGTTATTGAATGTACATAGTGTCAGTGATGTTAGGCAGACAGAAATCCATACAGCTGAGACGTTAGTACCTAATCCTAGCCCTTTTGAGGTTGAAAGTGCTATTGCAAAATCGAAACGGTATAAATTGCCAGGTAGTGATCGAATTCCTGCAGAACTTATTCAAGCAGGAGGTGAAATATTATGTTCTAAGATCCACAATCTAATTACTTCTATCTGGCATAAGGAAAATTTGCCTGATCAGTGGAAGGAGTCTATTATTGTACCAGTTCACAAGATGGATGATAAAACTGTCTGTAGTAATTATCAGGGTATACCACTGCTGTCAACTTCATACAAAATTTTATCCAAAATTCTTCTCTCAAGGTTAAGTCCACACAAAGATGAAATTACTGAGGAACATGAATGAGGGTCTCGAAATAACAGATCAACTACTGATCAGATCTTTTGCATTTGTCAGATATTGCAGAAAAAATGGGAGTATAATGAGACAGTATATCAGCTATTCATAGACTTCAGTTAGGAGGGAAGTATTGTACAATATTCTGATAAGTTTGGGTACCCATGAAATTAGTAGGCAGACTAAAGTGTGTTTAAACGAAACACATAGTAAAGTCTGTGTAGGTAAACTTTTGTCTGATAAATTTCCTATGCAGAATGGTCTAAAACAAGGAGATGTTTTATCGCCACCCCTTTTCAACTTTGGTTTAGAATATGCCATTAGGAAGGTCCAGGGAAACCAGTTGGGACTGAAATTAAACGGGACATTTCAGCTGTTGGTTTATGCCGATGATGTGAATCTACTGGGTGATAATGTAAATACCATAAAGAAAATCACAGAAACTTTAATTGCCACAGGTAAAGAGGTTGGTCTATAAGTAAACACAGGGAAAACTAAGTATATGTTGCTGTCTTGTCAACAAAATGCAGGGCAAAATAATGACATGAAGATACGAAACAGATGTTTTGAAAATGTGGCACAGTTCAGATATTTGGGAATAACGATAACAGATCAAAACCTGATTCAGGAGGAAATTAAGAGGAGACTGAAATTGGGTAATGCTTGCTGCCATTCAATCCAGAACCTTTTGTCTTCTCGTCTGCTGTCCAAAAACATACAAATTAGAATATACAAAACTATAATTTTGCCTGTGGTTCTGTATGGGTGTGAAACTTGGTCTCTGACATTAAGGGAGGACCATAAACTGAGTATGTAAGATTTGAGGCTTTCACGGCGGTGACTATGAAGAAAGCAGTCTTCTGGGATTTGGGACCGTGTATATGTGGTGTTAACCGACGTTTNGACTTGCTGAGACAACCCCCCCCCCCTCTGCTCATATTTTTTTCGGGATGGAGTTCAATCTCAATGGCTACCCTAATGATGCGATCCATATAGCGGGTCTTGGTGGCGAGGATGGAGGTATTCTGAAGCTGAATACGGTGTCCCAGATCGATGCTGTGTTCAGCTATGGCCGACTTGTCCGGATGTTCGAGATGGATGTGCCGCTGATGCTCCTTCAACCTCATGTCGACGGAGCGGCCTGTCTGCCCAATATAGACCTTTCCGCACTCGCATCGGATACTGTACACACTCGGTGTCCTTAGGCCCAGGCTATCTTCAACCGGCCGGAGGAAACTGGATAATTTGTTTGGAGGCAGACCCACTGCTTTGATGTTGTGCCAGAACAGCACTCTGCTGATACGGTTGAATATGGTCCCGACATAGGAAAGGAAGACGACTGAGCCCGGTTTGTCTTCAGGCCAGCTGATATTGGGCCGACGGTTGAGAACTCTGTGGATCTGCCGGTTGTTGTATCCATTCTTCTTGAATACATCCTTCAGGAATACCAACTCCGCATGTAGGCTGCCTTGATCACACAGTGCTCTAGCCCTGTGCACCAATGTGGAAAGTGCAGCTTGCCTGTTGGAAGGGTGGTGGTGGGATGCAGCGTTAAGGTAGAGGTTTGTATGGGTGGATTTGCGGTACACTCTATGGCCCAGAGAACCGTCGGGTCTCCTGTAAATATCTATATCCAGGAAGGGGAGGTGGCCTTCAGTTTCAGTTTCCATTGTGAACTGGATGGACTGCTGGATACTATTTAGGTGGTTCAGGGAGTCCTTGAGCTTGTCGGGGCCGTGTGGCCAGATGACGAAGGCGTCTCTACGAAGCGAAACCAGCAGCGGGGCTTGTGTGGGGCCAAGTCAAGTGCCCTCTCCTCGAAGTCCTCGATATAGAGGTTAGAGATGACCGGAGAGAGTGGCGAGCCCATTGCCACACCATCGGTTTGTTCATAGAACTGGCCATTGAAGTTGAAGTATGAGGTAGTCAGGATATGGCGGAAGAGTCTCAAGATGTTTTCTTCGAAATGTCGTCCTAGCAGATCCATCGTATCTTTTATAGGCGCCCTGGTGAAGAGTGACACTACATCGAAACTGACCATTATGTTGTGGGGATCAACATGGAGAGAGTCCAATGTGTGGACAGATTCCATGTAGTTACTTACGTGATGTGGACCGTTGCCAGTGTATATGCTTAGAAGGCCAGCCAAGTGTTTGGCCAGGCGATAGGTAGGAGAGCCAATGGTGCTCACAATGGGCCTTAGTGGAACGTCAGGCTTGTGGATTTTCTACAACCCGTAGAGTCTAGGTGGCCTGAAACCTTGAGGTCATAGCTGTTGGCAGACCTCCTCAGCAATCGGGGACTTTTTCAGGAGAAGAACAGTCTTGCTCTCTATGGTATCGATAGGATCCTTCTTCAACTTTCTATAGGCCTTATCCTCCAAAATAGCGGCGATCTTTCGGTTGTAGTCAGACGTATACAGTACCACGGCCGCATTACCCTTGTCAGCCGGAAGGACGGTGAGCGTTTCATTGGCTTTTAAGGACCGAAGGGCTCTTCTCTCGGCACCAGTCAGATTGTCCTTTGGTTTGCAGGAGTTCTTCAGAATCCTGACCGTCTCCTGTCGGATCTCTTCCGCGGTCTCTACAGGCAGGGTCACTATCACCTTCTCCACCCTGCACAGGATATCCTTGACGGGAACAGACACCGGAGCCACAGCAAAGTTGAGGCCCTTGCTCAGGGCCGAGAAAGCCGCTTCTTCCAATGGCACATCACTCAGATTGACCACCGTCTTCTTGCTGTCAGGTGGGCCGGGTGGGTGCTGGGCCTTATGCAAATGTTGAAACTTCTTGCAGTGCCTGGCTCTTACGTCATCAGCGATGCGTAAAGCCTTCTCACTAGTGATGCGGTCGATCAGGTCTCAGTCATCGGCGGACAAGCCCTGGGTCAAGCGCAGGTGTAAACAGTTCTCTGGATACAACGTCCAGCTCCCGCCTGGTGTGGTGGATGCGTTCACGGAGCAAACAGAAGCTCGTGCGTCTATACATTCTGTCGGCAGCGTCAGAATTTATGTGGTGTTTGAACTGAAGGAACCGAGGGATAGTGTTTTGGTCTCTGCATCTAAGAAGGAAGGGAAGGGTACAGAGTAGCTTAGTCTTCTTGGTTCGTAGCGTCTCGAGTCGTCGAATGTGTCGTTGAGTAGCCTCCCCATAGAGGAACATTATGTAAGATTTGAGGCTTTCAAGGCGGTGACTATGAAGAAAGCAGTCTTCTGGGATTTGGCACCGTGTATATGGTGTTAACCGACGTTTCGGCGGAACGTATCGCCTCCATCTTCAGGGTAGAAGGAAAAATAAAATAAATCCGCAGGCGAAGAGACCATGAGAACCGGTAAAAGCAGACTGGTGTTGGAAATATACACAGCTGTGTGAGAGCAGTGAAGGAAGGGGGGAAGGACAAGTCTACAAGTGAAAACAGTAGTGTCTGAGGGGGTGGGAGCTGGGACAAGCAGGGTTTTGTGTTGGGTCAGAGAAAGGCAAGGTTAAAGGCTGGGCACTAACCCTTAAGCTGGGGGGGAGGGTTGTTATGTTAGTCGGTCATGGCCTGTGTAGCCTTCAGGATCTGGCACCGTATCAGCAGAGTGCTGTCCCGGCACAACATCAAAGCAGTGGGTCTGCCTCCAAACAAATTATCCAGTTTCCTCCGACCGGTTAAAGATAGCCCGGGCCTAAGGACACCGGGTGTATACAGTATCCCATGCGANCCCCCCCCCCCAGCTTAAGGGTTAGTGCCCAGCCTTTAACCTTGCTTTTCTCTCCCCCAACACAAAACCCTGCTTGTCCCAGCTCCCCCCTCCCTCAGACACTACTGATTTCACTTGTATACTTTCCCTTCCCCCCTTCCTTCACGGCTCTCACATAGCTGTGTATATTTCCAACATCAGTCTGCTTTTACCGGTTCTCACGGTCTCTTCGCTTGCGGATTTCTTATATTTTTCCTTCTACCCTGAAGATGGAGGCGATACGTTCCTCCGAAATGTCGGTTAACACCACATATACACGGTGCCAAATCCCAGAAGACTGCTTTCTTCATAGTCACCGCCTTGAAAGCCTCAAATCTTACATAGTGTTCATCTAAGGGAGGCTACTCACGTAGAATAAGTTTTGTTTTTAAGATAATTCCTTTGTACAGACCACATGGAAAACACCGTCTTCCGTTGTTGAAAAGTGTTTACCGAACCACTGCATAGCAAAAGTCGCGGCACAGACCTCATAGAAAACAGTCTATTATTGAGGTTTGTTTACCGAGCCTTTGTTCAGCAATGCTCTTGCCGTCCACATTCCAGTATACTAATTCCATCTCCAACGCATCTTATTATTAACCACCCTTCTTTGTCAGAACTTATTTGGCCTTATACAGTCATCATCAGGTGCCTTCCTGTTTTGCTAAAATTGTTGCAGTATATTGTGTGTCAAAATTTCATATGGTGTGTAAAATCGATATTTCATAAGATAAATGTATTTTAATTAAGAAATATTGCGTTCACGGGTGACATACCATACAGTGCAACCATTTCATTGAAATAGAAGACACCTGACGATGGCTGTATACGGCCGAAACCTGTTGCGAGGAAGAATGGTGACTAATAATATATTAAATTGGAGACGGAAATCTATTGTATGAAATAAGTGGCAAGGGAAGTGTTATGGACACAGCCCATGAGTGGAATCTTCAATAGCAACATCAACGAGTCACCATGAAAGCCTCAAATCATTAATTGTGAAATCTATTTATCATGCAGCTTCCAAATGCAAGAAAGAACTTTCTTCTTACAGTGATGCATGACCTCACTGTAATGCATCAAAATCATGTTTTATAAAAAGGTGAAACAAAGACGAATCATAAATATATATTTGGCAACACTGTAGTCTAGGCTAAAAGTTTTTAAAATTTCCTTTGTACCGGTTAACTAAAATGCTTATAACGCTGGTAATAGTTAAGATGGAGAGTTCCCTTTTGTATTAACTGAAAAATATTGAGTGAGGCTTTCGTTTTGTATGTGACTCACACTGTTTTAGGGAACATGAAATCATCACTAAAACTATTATATCACCGGGAACATTTTTGCAACTCCAGTGGCACGTACTGTGAGGGAGAAGTTTTCAGTACCAGCCCATAATACTCTTTCTAATCGCTAACATCTTATATTCAGACATTTCTTAGCCACTTGTTGATTCTCTAGAAATCGGCCGCCGTATGGTAACGCTGGAAACGGCCACGCTACAATTTTCGCATTGTACCGTGTTTCACGGCGTTTGCCCTTCTCGTTGTCAACAAAATGGATGAACTTTAGAGGGTAAAACCTCTTTTCACTGAACAGATTAAAATATATGGGTGCTTCTAGAATNAAAAAAAAAAAAAAAAAAAAAACTTGTTATCCAGTTTCCGGTGAAGTCTTTGTAACAGAAAGAATGCTAGCAACTCCAGTGTTTCATTTCTGTTCGTTTCCTTTCAGTGATGGGCTCCAGATCTTAGTTTTAGATTGAGAGTGTTTTATAAAAATTTTGGGGCACACTGATTTGTTTCTCTGGCTATTATTTCCGTAATTTGTGGTGTATAAAACAACTCAAAATATTCCTGGAGCCGTCTAAATCAAAATTTATGCCAGATTTACCAGTAAATGGAAACTGTCGCACCTGACACTGCCCATTTCGTGCTGCATGCTGCTGTTGTCACTGACATTTTCTTCTTCATGATGACACTCTGGTTACGTACTTAAACGTCATCTGTTCTTTATTTACTTACGTAGTACACCATCGCACTCCCCTCGCACTCGGCAACACATCACGTACGTGTTATACGTCATAAAGTCAGGAATCAATGAAGATGGCGCCATCACGGCGTTTTTGTACCAGCTGCACCAATGAGAGAACTGAAGTGTGTGACGTCACGGAAAACGCCTCCGTCATATGTTCTGCGAGTGCGCGTTGTGTTAGTTCTGTTTCCTGTCTGTCAGGTGGTGGAAGTAAACGTGTAATAGCGGAATATTTACTACTTCGCGCTGTGTCTATCATGTATCCTGCTTTTGAAGATGCCGGCAAAGAACCCGGTCTTCTCATCTGGAGAATAGAGGTAACATTTGTTGATATGAGATTATTGTTTTCAACCTGTTTTTGTTTTCATCAGCACCACTCAACTTTTTACATTTCCTGGACAGCAAAGTGTGGCATCAAAATTATTACTAACGCTACTTTTCGCCGGTGCATGATTTTGTAATTCAATTGGTGGCAAGATTTCAGCCGAGTGATAGGGCCGTCCATATATCCGAATTACAGGGAAATTTCACGGTTCGCCTACCGAACAGGAAGGTCTAGTGGTAACGGTCTAGAACTGCAGCTGGAGGCTTCTAGGTTCTAATCTCTTTTAGGGCCGTCCATATATCCGCATGACAGGGAAATTTCACGGTTCGCCTACCGAACAGGGAGGTTTAGTGGTAACGGTCTAGAACTGCATCTGGAGGCTTCTAGGTTCTAATCTCTTTTAGGGCCGTCCATATATCCGCATGACAGGGAAATTTCACGGTTCGCCTACCAAACAGGAAGGTCTAGTGGTAACGGTCTAGATTTGCATCTGGAGGCTTCTAGGTTCTAATCTCTTTTAGGACATCGACTATCTTGATGTCATGGTTTTCTTGAGTTACAGCAGGAAAATACAGTTTTATTTTTAGATCGTAAGTATACCGTCTATAATGCAACAATAACCTTATGTAAAAACACTAAAAATATATATTTAATACACTGAAAGTGCGTGTTAAATCCTTAAAAATGTCATTAAAATTATACATTCATTCCTTGGTGTCTAAAATGAGTATACGAAGTCGATCCTCGACAGGGGCGCTCGACACTTCTTGTTTGCAGTAAACGAAACCGCACTATCTCCAATAAAGGAGATGGAGGTCCATGCAGTACTATATTTAAGAAAGTGTGAAGAATTATATTCACTTCCCACATACTCCCTAACGTTACTCTCAAATCACAGGGGAATATTAACAGTTCGGAAGATGGTAGGCTATTCCATACTAATCGCCGGCTTAGAAATGCGGACGACAGTTCTCAGTAATCATACTCATAGATATTAACCCTGAAGACCATCTAATTAATACTTAAAAATTAAATTCCTGCATTCATCATTACAAAGATCATCCGGTTAATGCTTTCCAGTGAAATAAATCACGGTTTATTCTGAGAATCGTACGAAACACATAAATATAATCTACAGAGAAACTAATTCTTGTGTTTTAGAGCAGGTGATATTCTGTGCTTTAAAGATTTAGTGCCATGAACAGCATTGTTTGTTAGAACAATAGCCGTATAGCTACTCAGCCCCATTTTGAAACAAACGTTAATATTCTCAGTAAGGGCAACACTGATCCAACCAAGTTGGCGGAATAAATAGATAGTCTGTATCCATAGAAGTTCTGTGCCTTTGTACGTTCGTTGAATATGATTTTCCCCCACCATATCTTGTTGGCCCTCACTCATAACGAAGACAAGCACATATCTACATAAATAAAAATAATTTCTGTAAGCGAAATGCTGTTTGTTACGTGCGATTACCTTCTTAAGACTTAAAGAAGTTAGAAAACTGCCTGTTATATGCAGTTGTTATTTCCGTCCCCTAGCAGCAGCATTCAAGCTTGCTGTGGTTTATCTACAATAAATGTGAATCCATTTTTTTCCGGTTCATTATGTTTATTTTAAGGAACTTTACTATCTAGAGCCGTGTGATGGATTTAGAACAAATTTTGTTAACAGAACGGGATTTGTACTCACAGAATTACTGGGTTTTCGGACTTTTTTCCCCATCGTCCGGTATTCTAGGAATTAGAAAACACGACGTTTCGGAAACTGAATCTGTTTCCGTCTTCAGGTGAGGAAGGAAGAGAGACCTACTCAGTTGGGCCCCTTAGAAAGAGCTAATCTCAATCACTTGACAACTCCTGTCAGATTTGTCAAACGATTTCAACATATACGCGTAAGACTAGGCTAATTCAGCGGAAGATAACAAGAAACCATAAAATAAAAATTGTGCTAGAGCACGCACATGCGTGGATTTGTACTGTTACACGGCGGTGATTCGTCTGGAAGTTTCATTAAACGTAATTCGTTTTAAGGGCTGCTTTTTTAGGAACTCAATTCAGTAGTTACGTAAGTTAGATTTTGTCTGTGGAGCCGGTATAGCTTAATCGGTATAGCGACAGGCTACGGGCCGGACGGTCGGTATTCGATTCCCGGCAGTAGTAAGAGATATTTCTGTGCTCCACTGCATTCAGACCGACTCTGGGGTTCACCCAGCTTCCTATCCAATGGGAACCGGGGGTAAAGTAGAGGGGGCGTGAAGCTGACCACTCACCTCCATCAAGTGTCGAGGTTAAGAATGGTGGAACTATACCTCCACACCCCCATATGTCTTAATGGCGTGGTGCTTAATTAAGCACAGGACCAGCTTTACCTTTACCTTTAAATTTTGTTTGCCTTTTGACAAATTTTAATGACAGCCGATATTCGACACTTATGTTTCGGTATGCCAGGATCATGTAAGGATCCGTGTATGCCTGTTATCTGAAAAACAAGTTGAACAAGAAGAAAGTACGTAATTTTTCAGTTGTATCGCCGAACATTACAGAGATACGAGCGAAAGTGTCTGTGTTTCTGACTCTAGAATCATTCTTACCCCAGATAGTTGCTAACATATTTAATCTTTTCATGATGATAGATAATTGACGGAAGTTGTGTGGCATTAGTGTTATCGTCCACTTGAGTTAGTTTTGGGCCCACTTTATGTAAGGGAAATTAAACCTTCATGTAACGGTTCTTTGACAAATATTTGTGAAATTCAGTATGTAGCATTTGTGTTAAGTACATGTTATACGAGCATTGTCATGTAATGAAGAAAGCAGTCTTCTGGGATTTGGCACCGTGTATATGTGGTGCCAAATCCCAGAAGACTGCTTTCTTCATAGTCACCGCCGTGAAAGCCTCAAATCTTACATTGTCATGTAATGTTTAAATTATTTAAGAGTCAGTTCTTTCTAGGATATAAATAAAGTCTTACGCATTCATTTTGAACTTTTTAACAGATGTGATGAAACTTGAGTCAATGCGGTTCCGTTACACAGGAATTATTGTGTGTTCCTAATTGACTTACTTATATTTAAAAGCCACCCTCCGNTTTTTTTTCTCCAGAGCTGTCGATCGAAACATTCTTCACCCTTGACGTTTCTTCTTTACATGCTGTCCTAAACGAATCCTTCCATCTTCCATGTGTTGACTGGTCAGCCACGCCTCCTTTTTCCCTGTCGGTTCAATTCTGCAACCTGTCGAGCAGTTCAGTAGTCATCCATTGTTATGACGTGGCCCTTTCATCTTATGTGGTGCTCTTAGGGCAGCCGCACACCAGCTGCGTCAAGACATGAGAAAAAGACGCAGTCTTGCTTCATTTGTGATTAGTCAACATCATGACTCAGACCGGTGTGCGGCGGTTTTCATAGTCTCATTCGTTTCAACTGTGCTTCTTTCTTTGCGTCATGTCGGAGACATCGTGTCTTGACTGTTACATGTCTTGACGAATTGCTTCCTTTAATGTATCTATTTTAATTCCCAGTTTTATTATGATTGTTTCATTTCTAATTCTATCCACTCGTGACATAGACAGAAAACACTGTTCCTGTACTGTTGGCCGCGTGTGTGTTGCGGGCGTTGTCAAGCAATATCAAGATACTCTTTCCCATGACTTTTCACACCAGAATTCCCTTACATACTTACTCATGGAGCCTTCCGGAGGAGCCGCCAATTCTGCAGCTACTCAAGAATTTCTCAGCATTTTATGGAACCCGAAGTTTCATTACCGTGTTCACAAGAGCCCTCCACTGCTCCCTATCCTGAGCCAGATCAATGCAATCAATACCATGCCATCCTATCTCTCTAAGATCCATATTAATATTGCCCACCCACCTACGCCGTGGTCTTCACAGTGGTCTCTTTCCTTCTGGCTTTCCCACCAATATCCTATACACATACTTCGTCTTCCCTATTCGTGCTACATGCCCTGCCAACCTCATCCTCCTTGACTTGATCATTCTAATTATACTTGGAGAAGAGTACAAATTATGAAGCTCCTTATTATGCAGTTTTCTCCAACCTCCTACCACTTCATCACTCTTCGGTCCAAATATTCTCCTCAACACCCTCAGTATATGTTCCTCACTTAATGTCAGAGACAAAGTTTCACACCCATACAGAACCACAGGCAAAATTATAGTTTTGTATATTCTAATTTCTGTGTTTTTGGAGAGCAGACGAGAAGACAAAAGGTTCTGGATTGAATGGTAGCAAGCATTACCCGAGTTCAATCTCCTCTTAATTTCCTCCTGAATCAGGTTTCGATCTGTTATCGTTGTTCCCAAATATATGATTTGTTCCACATTTTCAAAACATCTGTTTCCTATCTTTATATAATGATTTTGCCCTGCATTTTGGTAACGAGACAGCAACATATCCAGAATTCCCTTACAATTACAAAAGAACCATCGCACCCTTCAATTCATTGTCATATGCAGTTCAGTTTTGTGTCGTTTAGAGCAGTGGTTCAGTGCGCGAAACGTTTGAAAGGGTACGCCTAAGAATTATGGGAATGGTCTGAAACTGAACTACAAACTGATGAAATTCTCTGTATACGTACTTATTCGTACCCTCTAAATTCATGAAATGTGGTTCAATTAGCAGTAATTATGCGCACCAAATGTCTTTATGACTTTAAACTATCATTTTAATTAAACTCACACCGTCGCAGATATCAACGTGATGGTTGGCAGCTTAAATTAAACAAGGGTAAAGCGAATGCAATACGCACGTGTTAAATGTGTGATTATTAGTATTAGTTTCAGTCCACTAGTCAAATCTGACTCAGTAAGACTTACATTGTGCAGTTGTGTAAAAATTGTTTTGTGGCTTGTAAAGAAATCCAGAAGTGTTGAAAGTGATATCGATATATTGAGCGCAGCCAATTTTACAGAATATGGTTCTCCTGCAGAAAAATAGACATTCGATTTTATGTATCAATTTGTAAACGGG